GACTGAGGAGATTTTTTGTTGTCTGATTGATGGTATAAAGCTGGTTATGTGTGGAAAAAATGGTTGAAATGTTGTAATGCAATGTGCTGAAAGTGTTTGAAATGTTATAACATGATACGTTGAAAATGTTTCATATATGAATGTATATGTTGTAAACTCTATTACGTTGAGGCTGATTGATAAATACTGTAAATTATATTATGCTGAAGCTGGCTAATAAATGCTGTAATTCTACACAAGTTGAAGAAAATGAGAAAATGTTGAGTCGTTTGGCTTTGCTGGCAATACATCTAGTTGTATTGCTGAGACTGAGGATATATATGTGTATGGCTGTACTGCTGAGCTAAATGAAAACATATATATACTTGTATTGTTGTGGCTGATAATGTATATAGTTGTGTTGTATAATATTGACTTTTATCATTTTAGAACTGAGTTACATGTTTAGGTGGTTAGACAAGTAACGATAGAAATGCTAATCTGTGCTGTGTTTGGATCCAGATACAGGAATGGGTCGCTCTCAGACTGAGAACAGTTCCTTTTGGAATACTTAAGCTATGAAACTAGTTCGGACTGAAATGTTGCATTTGAATTAGATGGACTAGGAATGGGCTGAACAGTTTGTGTTGAATTGCTGAGAATTGTATGAGCTATATATACATTTATGATATTTTCATATTTTATAGTGATGACTGTTGGTTACATAAGCTCACCCTTGCATTTTTCTATGTTGGTGTGTGTGCTATGATGATCGTGCAGTGATACATGAGCAAGTGTGACAGGTGAGACATCTACTTCTCATGCTGGAAGGTTTGACTAAGAAATGTGTCGATGAGATATTTACTTCTCATACTGGAAGGTCTGACTGAGAAATGTGAGAAGTCAAAGTGTGTTTATAGAGATTGTAGCTTTATTTACTTTGTCAGTCTGTCTTAGTAGTGGATCTAGACTATTTAATTACAATATTCGGTAATGTAATTGTTATTTTTAAAAGCTATATTTTGAACTCCATGTTGAGCAACTTTGATATAGGTACTATTATGGATGATTATAAAGTCTTGTTTTATTACTAAATGTTGGACTTTCACGTTTTGTTAAATTTTAATCATTTTTTAAAAATACAAAAATTTTATAATGAAATAGATTGTTTAACATATTATAAATTATTTCTAAATAGGAGTTATGACACTATCATCCTCCCCAAAAGGGGTTTAATCCGCCTTCCCTTCCCTTTCCCTTCTTCCCCCTTCAAACTCCTTCCCTTCCTCCCCTCTGAACTTTCAAACAAAGCCTTAAGTGAGATTTCACCTCATTCTTTAAAGTTTGTTCGTAATATAATATTTTTTCAACCCTTTTCTCTTTTTAGCTTTTATTTCAGAAGAGATCACCTAAATTATGTACCTTTTAACTAATAAATCTTAGTCTTTCATTTTTTTTTTGTATCATATTAATAGCCACAAGCTTTTGTGAACTCATCTCTTATAAAGATGTGAAAACGAGCTAGCTTATCTCAACTTGCCAAAAACTCACCTCGTTTAGAAAATAAACTAGATTTCTAGTTTGATCTTTTAAGAGTGGGTTATTAGGCTAATGGGTCAGTTTGCCAAAGACAAAAATAGAAGAAGCCAACAAAATATTTTGTTTCAATAGAAGAATTGAATTTTCTTTATTTTAAATATTTTTGTTTGAACAGAGTAATTAAGTTACTTACATTATTAAAAAAATTTATCACTATTTTTGAAAAAATTAATTAAAAATATTTGAATGATTAAAATAATTACAACTAAATAAAAACCTGAATAAAACATACCATAAATAAAAAAGTAATTCCAAATTCTCACTCTTTTTTTAAGATTTAGAATTCTTTTATTTTAGTCTATTGAAAATTCTTAAATTTTTAAATTCTTTAAAATTAAATATACAAACAACAAATTTAACTCAAATTTATAAATTCTTTAAAAAAAATACTTAAAATGTTTAACAAAATTCGAGCAGTTTAACAATTACAAAAAAAAAATCCACTAACTCTTTAATTGCTTCATAAACTAAACATGATTTAGACCTTTTGATGGTGCATTGACATTAGAGATGGTAAAAAAAACTTGTAGAATATTCATTATGGGTAGGAATGGTAATAGGTAGGGTACTATAGTACCCATTCCCATACCCGTATTTTAAAAAAATACTCGTACTTAGCCAAATACTTGCATGGGTAATAACATTAATTCTATACCCGTATATTCTAGGTATCTGCATACCCATACTCATTACTCACGCTTGTTTGAGAATAAAATACTTATAAAAAAAATGTTTATATAACTTTATATAAGTAGAATAATAATACAAAAATTCAATACATAATTTTTAAATAAAGTACAAGCATAGATATAAAACAAATATTCAAAGAGCACAAGTGCTTAAATATATCTTAATACAACAGCTTTATAAACTAAAATTCTTAGAAATCATAAGTGAAATTAAACACATAAATTATTAGTCGACAATAACCCTGTCTTGTGTGAGATCCGATCGAATGACAACATTAAACTAGGCGACAATGAGATGGATATGTATAATGGGTAACTTCTTATGTCAACATTGTCAACTACCTCTAGCTATTCATGGTTGCTACAATAGGTTTGAGTGAAGCAGATATTGAGAATGAGAGTAGTACTAGGGTAGAGAAACTCAGATACTAAACGACAACAAGAAGTGAACACATAACACATTGTTTTAAAACTTTTGAATATAAAATTGTAAGAAAAATAATAAATTTAATTAAAATAATATCATATAATTAATATATATATATATATATATATATATATTATAATACTAGTATTTTTAATCCATGTACTAGACGAAAGTATTTTATCAAAAATATAAATTTATTTAAAAAATTATTTTAATATATTAAATATGTATAATGTATATAAATTTTGAAAAAAAAATTGAATAAAAAATAAATGGTCATAATAAAATTTTTTAATAAAAAAATATAGATGTATATCAAAAGAATTATATACATTATATTTATATTAAATAGATTATAGTTGTACTTATAATTTACATGTTGCATAAGAAAATATTGTTTAAATTAAAGTATAAAAATAAAATTTAAATATTATCAATAAATAATAAACTTACAATAATAATGATGATTATAAAATTTATAAAAAATGTACAATATATTTATTATTTTTCATTCACTTTATAATTTAAATATCAATATGATTTTGTTAATGAAAATATTTGTGTAAAAAATAATTTGTATGTGTGTCATATATAAATAATTTTTTTAAAAATTCAATCTCATATCAACCATATAATAATTAAATTGCATTAACTTAGTTAAATAATATAAAATAGTAAATAATTTTTTTGTTTACTTTATTATTAAATATATTTTATATTAATCTTATATAACTTCACATAAGTAGTATAATAATAAAAAAATTTAATATATAGTTGTAGAATAAAGTTTAAATATAGATAAAAATTCACATAAATAGCATATTTTCTCATGTTCATACCCATACCAGTGTAGAAGATAAATACTTACTTAGGTAAATTTTGGAGGTGCTCATTAAGTTCTTTACCTATTATCATCCCTAATTGTGAATTAGGTTTTCAAACAAGTATTGCGTAATAAATTTTTTTTTTTGGGTACCTATTAACTAAACTGAACAAGTTCTAAATAATGAGATATTGAATTTGCTAGTATCATTTACATATAAAATTACAAAATTATCTTTTGTATAAATAAAAAACAACATAACCCTAATATTAAAGATTTTAATATTATATTTTTAATACTATTTTAATGTTACGTGAATGTTTATTTTTTTTTTGTATTACTTAAATTGTTGATGACAATAGTTTTTAATCGAATATTTTTAATATGAAATTATAAAAACCTGTAGATACTTTTAGGTACTAAGGTTGTTCAAAAAATCTAGATTTAAAAGTTCAATCTATATTCAAAGTTAAATTAGTTTTAAAATCTAAATTTAATAAAGCTAAATATTTAAATTTATTTTATTTTTTAATCTAAATTTATACTGGATCTCGTTTGATAAATCTAGATTTTATTTATTAAAACTGGATAAAATATATATCCTTCTTATCTTCTTTGTCAAAAGGATATAAAGTGAGGAACTTGTTTACAAGGATTTTACCACTTTATTTATAAGGAGTGTAGCATAGGCTTATTGGTCTTAGCTTCTTCATGATCCACTCGATTGAACAACCATAATCCTGAATCATATTTCAGTGCATCTACAGAAGACGAAATCGCAATCCAGAATTGGTTTGCTTTCGTCGTAGCAGTGTGAAAAAAAGTATTACTAACGAAAAAAAAATAAAATCAGACGTTAGTTAGAAGTTTGAAAAATTAAAAATAATTATTATATTATATATTTATTGTATTATTTTTTTTTAATTTATGTTGAAATATCACATAATAAAGAATTGATAAATTAGAATTTTTATTAAAAATATAAAAATTAATATTATCATTGTAAATATTTATTAGTTTAATATAATATAAAAATAAAAATTTATATTATTAATAGATTAAAATATATGTAAATATAATTTTATCTTAGTTATTATAAAATTCAAATATTTTTAATATAATAATTTAATAATAATATAAAAATATTTATAGATTATAGTATATTTTTATTAAATTTAAAATTGATTTTAAACTAAATTTAAATTTTAAAATCAAATTTAAACTAATTTTAAAAAATTAAAATATATTAATTCAATATTTAATTCATATAATTAAATTTTAAATAAATTTAAATTAATTTTTTAGAAATTCAATTCATGCACATCCCTCGTGAGTATCCATTTACTAACCATGCCTGCTCTGCTCCATCTGTACCGGGCTTTGCTCATTTTTTTCCACATGTTAAGCCCAAATCAAATTCTAAAAGAAACAAAACCGCAAATATGCCTAACCCAACGTAAAACGAGAAAAGTAAGGGTATTTTGAAAATTGGAACATTGTTTTGATACAGAAAGCAGGGGCACTTGATTCTTGCTTGCATAAGTGCATTGGTTCAAGGAAGGAACCTTGTGTAGCAGCTTGCTGTAGGCGTGGATTTCTGGCTAAGTTCTTAAGTGTGGCCTATTGGGTGCAGAAGACGCTTCTTGAGCGAAGCATATCGAGAGAGAGAGAGAGAGAGCTTCCCACGCCAGCCTCTTCCTTCTCCATTTCGTAGGTAGGTTTGTGCAAAATCACCTCAAACTCAAACCAAAGTAGATAGAGCTTCGAAACACACTCTACAAGTAGAGAGAGCAATCCCATTCCTCTTAGCCGCCACTCAGCCAACCCACCAAGATGCTCCACAACAAGTCCTTCGTCAAAAAAACCAAAGCTGGCAAAGTCATGAAGGTCCACTCTGCTCCCTCTCTAACCCTAACTCAACCTCTTTCTGTCTTTTTTTTATTTCTTTTTTAAATTGTAAATAATAATTTATTTTCTGTTTCCGAGAGCAGCAAGTGCGGGAACACTACTTGCGAGATGATATATACTGTGGCGCACCGTTTTGCACCGTTTGCGATTCTTCTGGTGCTCGCCTCGGTGCTTCTGCTTCCACCATTCTCGTTGTCGACACCAATGTCGTTCTCAACCAGGTCTGCTTCCTTTTCCGCCTTCCCTATTTTTTTATGCGCAACAATGAAGTGTTTTTGTGAATTGTAATGTGTGCCGAGGTGACAGATTGATTTGCTGGAGAATCCGGCCATTGAAGATGTCGTGGTGTTGTCCATCGTGCTGGAAGAGGTTAAGAATAAGAACATGGCTGTATACAACCGAATAAGAGCTATCTGTAACAATTCCATGAGGAAATTCTTTGTTTTTTCCAATGAATATCACAGGTATGTTTATCTTTGCTTTTTTATATGACTTGCTGCTAGTTTTTGGTCACGGTGAGATTATATTGCTGTGAAAATACACAAGGTAAGCAAGAAAATCTGTATTTCAAAGGAAAGAAAGGAAAATACTAAAAGAATGCAGCAAGGTTCTCTGCGTGTGTGTCTATAAATGTGTGTGATTGCCAGGCAGGAATCTTTGAAAGCTATGACTGTTGGTTAAAAACTGAAAGAATTTGTCGACCCAAACAGAAGAATCCAAGTTCTAGATTTACTTTTTAGGATTGGCCGAGAGATAAATACAGTGAGGTACAACGAAAGGGATTGTGGTTTACTGCTTTATTTAAAGTCAAATATCTTGAAAAAAAAAAATGGAGCTCCAATTTAAGGAAAGGTAATGAATGGACAGGTAGTACACCTTAGAGTGGTCAGAAAGATGATATAAAACATCTAAACAAGAAAATTTGCCTACTTAAATGTCCCCCAGAATTGATATAATTAACATCACCTAATCTTAATGAAACCAGGAGAAGCCACAGACCCTGCACATTTTGAAAAATAGTTGATAGGTCATTATTATCAAGAAAGAAATATTATTAGGTTAGAAAGGTGATGAAATAGGATAAGATTTCCTATCTAAAGAAGTAAGAGGAATACACAAAAACAAGGAAAAGCAAGGAAGGCAAACCAAGGGCTGCCTGTGTGTATCAACCATTGAGTCCCTTCTAGGTTAAGCTGACACAAATTTCAAAGCAAGAAACCAAATTTTCCCATAGAAGATGCAGTGAAGAATATATATCCCTGAAGAGTAAGGCATCTTTTTGCAACTATGGATTCGACATAACAGCATACTTGTGCATTGGAATTTGGAATAGAGCATTGCCTTCTTTACTCTTCCCTAAATCTCTAAAATGACATCAGAAAGTCCTATGAACAATCTTCACATTCCCACTGAGAACTCAAGAAGCCTCCTTCGCTTTTTACATATATACTATTTTAGCTGATAAATATAGTGTATAAAAATAAATGCTTTCCAATCTAAAAACCTGAAAATCACATAACTAAAATATCAGGAAAATTGCTTTGTATGGTCTCCTGACCTGCAAAAAATCATTTACAATAAATTGGACCAAATACTATTATTCACAAAGACATCACCTTATTGCTTTTTTCCTTTTATTGAGTTGATAATTTTTCTTTAGTAATTAGTGGAGTTGTATATTTTACTCATGCGAATTTACTTCATGGTATGCTGCCAATTTTTTCTGCTTGTGGATGATGGAATGTTCACTATATATATTTGATTTGATGTTTTGTGTCTCTATTGGCAGGGATACATATGTTAAGGAAATGAGCGGGGAAACTAAAAATGATAGGAATGATAGAGGTTGGCTTTTCAAATGAGCTTGGAATTTATTCTTTAATTTTTTGTATGTTTTCTGGTTCACTAGGATGGTTTTGTACATGAATTGCCAATAGAGATAAAATTGTTTTGAAGTTTTAACCTCAGAGTGGTAATGCAGCTATTCGAGTGGCTACTCAGTGGTATCAGAATCATCTTGGTAGTGCAGTGAAGGTTTTGCTTATAACTAATGATAAAGAGAACAAGAGGAAGGCTTGTGAGGAGGGCATTGTTGCAGAAACAGGTAGTTGAGTTATTTTTCCTGTTAATTGAACTATATGTTAAATAGCCAGTCATCCATTTTTCTTCAGGCTTGTCTATGAGGAATACCAAACTACCAGTTTTTTTCATTGGTATCATCCTAAAAACTTACTACTCAATTTGTTGTTTGTTTCAGTTGAGTCATATGTGAAGTCTTTGGACCGATCTGATTTACTTGACCTGCTTGTGCGGCCTGCATCTGAGGATGTGGACATGGAAGTGGTTGAAGATCTTAGACCATCCAAGAGGAAAGTCATCTATTCAGAGGTATTCAGTCAATGTCATTTGTATGTAGTAATTTGTATCTGGAGGTTTGGTTAAATTGAGATATGGAGCATTTACATTTTGTTAACTTTCAGCACAAGCCGATGTCAGAAATTACGTCTGGTTTGCATCGTGGAATATATCATCAAGGGAAACTTCGTGTAAACCGTTACAATCCATTTGAAGCATATGTTGGGAGTGAGAGCATTGGTGATGAAATAATTATTTATGGGCGCTCAAACATGAACCGAGCTTTTGATGGTGATATTGTGGCAGTTGAACTTCTGCCTCAGGACCAGTGGCAAGAAGCCTCGTCTCTATCTATAGCCGGTGAAGGTATGTTAATTGTTAAACTATTTGTACTTTGCCATATGGTAGATCGGCAACTTGTAGAATTATTCTTCACTAAGTTATCTTATTACCTAATTTCACTTGGAAAGGAATAGCCTTTAAAACATAACTTAGGCCATCAACTCCAGGGCTTTTAATTTTCATTCATAAATCTGGAAATTTAATTCTTTATTAGATTCTGGAAATGTTATTTTAAAGTCACATGTCTGCAGAAAAATAGGCCTATTTTTATTAAAATCTCTATCATGTTTAAAAATTTAAAATTGAGAAGAAGAGACATTTAATGGTAAAATAGTTCTAAATCTTTATTATTAAATTCCAGTGAAAGTAAAAAGTTTGAGGATGAATGAAATTATGTACATACGTGGCCATTGGGTGATTTTGAAGGGAAAACAATCTTCTGCTTCACTATAACTTAAGACATCCAAACTCTTGAGAATTCTAAAGTTCTTTTAACATTGGCATTATGTCATTGAATCATTCCTGATTAATGTGTTAATTGTTGTGGGGGATAATGTTTTATTTTAATTCTAGTATTTGAGTGAGCTTCATCATTACTGCCAGCTGCTAGGATCTTACAGCATTGTTCTCAGAATCATATGAATCTTGATGCAATTCATGTGATTCAGAGACCTATTATTTCATTGATATATATTGTGCAGAATCAATTTTGAACCAGAGTTGTATACCTAAATCATGTAAGAATTGTTCAGAATCATATGTATTGTTAGTTTAGATCATGATAGTCAAAATTGAGATTCTAGTTAGGATCGGAGAGGGGATGAAAGATTGTAACTCGTAGGATCGTAATACGGATCGCAAGATCCTACAAAATTGTATGAATGCATGTAAAATAGTATAAATATAAAAATGAAGGAAGCTAAACAAAGACAAATGAGGGAAGGAAACCACCCTTAACTCAAAACAGAGACAGGGACATGCCCATTAAAAACAGAGACAGAGAAGAGAAGGAAAAGAGGATTGGGTAATGTATTTTTGATGGAAAGACTATTTTACCCTTCAAATAAACTTAACAGAACTATTTTAAGGGCAAAAAGGGAAAGTCAAATTATTTTTTAAAGATAAGAAGTCTTTTTACCCTCAAAAAACCCTAAAATCTACTTCATTCTGGGGACAGAAAGGGAAAAGTCAACCCCTTTTACTCCAGCGGCACTGTTGCATTGTGAATTAGGCTATGATGGCTGCAAATACAGCTGTGATGGTCACCACAGCAAAACGCTTCGCTATACAAAGTTGTCGACGCAGAGCAGAGTCTCCAACATAGGCAAGGTTGCTGGAGCAGTCAGTTGAGTGAAAGCTAGGGATTGCAGATCAGAGGAAAGGTTTAAGGATCACAGAATGAAATCAATTTTAGGGTTTCAAGCAAACTGGGTCGCCAGTCATTGGGTTTAAATTTGAGTTTGAAAACGGGGGGATCATTCGAGCTTACTAGTTTTACGTTCTGGCATGGCGATCCCACCGATCTTGCTAAATCATGATCTTGGCAGTTGGCACTGAGCTAGCACGGAGAGGGGGTTGGAGATCGTAAAATCGTGCGATTTTACGTTCCGGCACGCAATTTTGAGTACCATAGTTTAGATGCAATGCTTATGATGCAAATATGGTCAGATTGTGTCCTGCATGCTGGAACCAAAATTGACACTTTGATGTAGGAAGAGAGGCAATTAGAGGGTGTTGCCTAAACTACAAACCAGTTTGCACAAAAAGTGAAACCAAGTGGGAAAGCCCATGGCAAGAGGGTTGGGGATGCAATGGGTATGACAGTTGTTGGTGAAACAATTGGCAATGTTGGAGAGGAACAAGGGAAGGGAGAAGGGAAAGTGGGAATAAGTCATAGGCATATGGGGAATAGAGTTGTAGAAGCCCTAACAAGGAGAGTAGATCAGAAGGAAGGTAACTCAATCGCTAGACTCAAAAGGAGATTGAGAAAAACTAAAGGTGGAACCATTAAGAAGAATTTAGAGGTCAATAGTTTGTCTATAGACATGATTTATGACATGTAGCTGACCTTTGAACTATTTGGAAAAGACATGAGCTTGTTTGGATAAACATTTGAACTAGCACTTGTTGGAGTAGAAAAGTGTTATCAACTGTGGATGGTGTGTAGGGGGCAAGTGGCAGAAGTGTGGCAGATGGATTGAAAAAATATATAATATAAATAAAAACACCAAAAAGAACCTAAATACAACTAATTATGAATTTGACATGCCAGTGTTCCAAAAATGAGAAGGAGATGATGAAGTAAAAAACAATAAAGGATCAAGATAAAATAGAGATTAGAATTAAAAAAAAAAAAAAAGAAATGGAGAAGGGGAGGAACAACACAAAAAAAAAGAAAGAGATTGAGAGGTTGGTTGACGTCAGAGTAGTTGGATGGAAAACTCAGTTAAAGATGGTTTGAAACAGTTAGGTGCAGGTTTTGAAATTTAAAAATGTTGGTATCCAAACCCGACCAACTCATCAATGCCATTTTGGAAAGCACCCACAGCGCACACTTAACCCCTAACTCTTTCTCTCTCCTCTAACTTTGTCTTTCTCTTACAAATATTTTAAGTTAGTAATAATATTTCTCACAATACTCCATACTTTTGACAATGACCGGTGAAGGATGGTGGCACATGCCTGCTGTCACATCACACTAAACAGTCATGATTTTGATGTGCCGATAATCCAGCAGTTCAGATTATTTCTTCAGCTCATAACTCTCTAACATGGATTTTCTCTCTCTACTGCACACATATCCAGCTTGGTTTGTGTGACACTTCGTAGCCCACTGTGGCAATATCGATGGCTATGGCAGCTGCAAAACCTGAAATTGTGGACAGCAACATAAAATAAAAAATTGGATGGCAAATGGAAGATGGTGCAATTGTGGTCGCCATGGCACTGACATGGCTGCCATTTAACAGCACTTAAAATAGGGAAATTAAATGAATAAAACTTCTATTATAAGTTAAAATTAACTTATGCTCCTAATGTTTTGGAAAAGTTAAATGAGCTCATAGAAAAGCATAGGTGTATAATTTGGTTTTAACTTATGAAGAAAGTTAGTTTAGTTTATGATATGTTAAGAAACTTGGGCCTAACTCACTCCCAAAAGCTAACTCATAAGAGGAGGGCTGCCCTAGTCCTTATGAGGAGTATTCTAGTTCCACTCTTAACCAATGTGGGACATCTTAACACACTGTCCTCACGCCTAGGACAACTGGATATCTGCATGAGTAGACCCAACATGACTAGACATCTGTGGGTAGCCCAATGTTCAAACTGAATAGGCTCTGATACCATGTTAAGAAACTTGGGCCTAACTCATTCCTAAAAGCTAGCTCATAGGAGGAAGGATGCTCTAGCCCTAACCTAGCCACAGCTCATCCACTCGTCTGAGCCGGTCAACTGGATTGACCTAGCTTTGATACCACTGTTAGGTTGGGGGAGTATTTAAGTAGGGAGCCTTACAATGAGTAGGACACTACAATGCAACCCTAAAATCTTGAGGTAATGGGTACATAGGTCCATCTTTTTATAAATTTCTAACTTGCTCATATCCCATTCCATGTAGGACTCAAATCACACTTGATTCCAACACTCTCCTCAAGTGTAAAAACCCATCTATATTTCATATCGGCTCCCTCAGCAGCGGAATTTCTTTCATCCACTAGTATCCATGGTCTACACTAGAGCAACTCTTGCTCTCTTCCATGTAGGCTGACGTCCACTCAATGACACTTTGATAGGGTCCTTAAAATCTAGGACTTAATTTCTCATTCACCTTTTTAGCTAGAGACTTTAATTTGTAAGGCTGCAGCTTGAGATAAACCCAGTCCCCAACAATGTACTATACTTCCCTCCTATGTTTATTGGCATAAGTCTACATTTGATCTTGGGATTTTAGAAGGTTTCTTTTCAAGTCATGTAGGATGGAATCGCGCTTTAGTGTCAATTGATTTCTTCAACAACAAATGGTATAACAGTTCCTTTAAGAAGATGAGGAGGATCACGTCCGTAGAGAGCTTTAAACGGAGTGAGTTTAGTAGAACTGTTGTAATTGGTGTTAAACCAAAATTCAGCCTAGCTTAACCACCGTGGCCACTATTTCAGTTTTCCCCTTGTCAAGCATCGTAAATATGTCGTAATTTGGTTTAAAAATGCTAATATATTTTTTGGTCTAGACTACAGGTATCCTTCTACTGGAGGCAATCCTGTTTGAGCTAGATGTTTGTGTTGAGAGAAAAAATATTGAATCCGTTTGTTTTGGGGCACAACGGAGTTATTTAAATTTATAAGGAAGAGTGCATAATTACAAAATATATAGTTACTATATTTACAAGATTCTAATAGATTCTAACACTTCCAAGTCATGCACCAAGCTTGCTACATATGTAGTTAATCCAAGGACCCCTTAGAGACTTAGTAAATATGTTTGCTAGTTGATTATGCGAATTGACAAAACTAGTAGATATTTACCGGGACATGACTTTCTCTTTGACAAAGTGACAATCAATTTCAATGTGCTTTGTCCTCTCATGGAATACTGGATTTGAGGCAATGTACATGGCGGCTTGATTATCACATATAAGTGACGTGTGACCTCTTCGAACTTTAGTTCATGAAGTAACTGTTTGAGCCATTTAAGCTCTTGACTCGCTATATCTATAGCTTGATACTCCGCTTTTGCACTGGATCGGGCTACAACATTTTACTTCTTACTTTTCCAAGAGACAAGGTTATCTCTGACAAATATACAGAATCCAGAGGTGGACCTTCTATTTATGAAAGTTCTTGCCCAATCTGCATCAGAATATCCCATAACTCGAGTGTGTCATTTGTCTTCATACAAAAGACCCTTTCCTGGAGCTTTTTTGATATATCGAACAATGTGAGTCACTACATCCCAATGTTCCTTACATGGAGAGTTGAGGAATTGACTTACTACACTCACTACGAATGAGATATTTGGATGGGTAACAGTGAGGTAGTTCAGCTTCCCTACTAATCATCTAAACCTTTCAGGATCTAGAAGAGGCTCTCCCTAATATGGAAGGAGTTTGACATTGGGATTCATGGGAGTGTTGACTGGCTTGGAAGTTAACATTCATGTTTCTTCCAGAATATCTAATGCATACTTTCTTTGGAAAATGATGATTCTATTTTTAGACTGTGCTACTTCTATTCCAAAAAATTATTTGTTTGCCATGATCCTTTGTCTGAAAATGTTTGAAGAGATGCTGCTTTACCTGTGCGATGCCACGATGATCACTAGTCGTGATGGCAATGTCATCAACATAAACAACCAGGTAGATGCAACTGGTAGGTGAGTGACAATAGAAGATAGAATGGTCAGCCTTACTCCGAGTTATGCTAAATTGTTGAATCACAGTATTGAATCTGCTGAACCATGCTCTGAGTGACTGCTTGAGGCTATATAAAGATTTTGGCAGTCGACATACAAGACCAAAGGACTCCTGGTGAGCAACAAAGCAAGGAGGTTGCTTCATGTAGACTTTCTCAAGCAGATCACCATGTAAGAAAGCATTCTTGATATTCAACTGATAGAGAAGCCAATGACGTATGGCAGCAATGGACAAGAATAGTTGCACAGGGCAATTTGGCCACGGGAGAGAAAGTGTCGCCATAATCCAACCCAAAGATTTGAAAAGCCTTTGGCAATGAGACGGGCCTTAAGTCGGTCAACCTTGTCATGTGGACCAACCTTGACCGTATACACCCACCAAAAGCCAACCATTGACTTCCTTGGTGGTAGAGAAACAAGGTCCCAAGTTTCACTGTTTTGTAATGTACACATCTCGTCTAGCATAGCTTGATGCCATCCTGGATAGGCAAATGCATCACCTGCACTCTTAGGAATAGAAACAGAAGATAAGGAAGAAAGGCAAGAATAATAGGAAGGAAAAAGACGATGATAACTTAAAGAAATATAATGAGGAGAAGGATTATGAATAGAACGTATACCTTTTCGAAGGGCAATGGGAATGTCAGGTTTAGAGGGTGAGACCGGAAGATGAGGCGAAAGAGGTGGCTCCAAAGGTTAGTCCATGTTGTTATTGCTCGGTGGCTGCAATATAGGACGAGTACGACGCTGATATACCTACAAAGGTGGAGGCGATGGGTGTGGAGGGGGTGGAGACTCCTTTGGAGGACAGAAAAGGATTGAAATAGGGGCAGTTGTGGACGGGGAAGACTCGAATGTAGATGTCCTAAGATCAAAGAATGGAATGGACTAAAAGAAAGTAACATTAGCAGAGATGAAATACCTGCGAAGCGTAGGGGAATAACACTTGTATCTATTTTGAGATCGTGGGTACCTGAGAAAAACACACTTATGAGACCCAGGAGAGAGCTTGTCAATGCTAGGACTAGGAGCATGAGCAAAACATGTAGAACCAAAGACCCGAGGTGGTAAAGGATGAAGAGAGTGGTGGGGGTATAGAACTTGATGAGAAATTTTACCTTGTAAAAAAGAGGAAGGCATGCGGTTAATTAGATAACACACAGTAAGTACTGCATGACCCCAAAATTGATGAGGAACATTAGAGTGGAGAAGAAGATTCCGGATAGTCTCAAGTTGATGCCTATTTTTGTGTTCTACAACTCCATTGTGTTGGGAGGTATAAGGACAAGATGTTTGATGTAACACACCATGAGACGCCATAAAGGTCTGAAACTGAGTAGACAGATACTCACGTGTATTATCATTTTGTAAAGTGCGAATAGGGATACCAAAATGGTTTTTTATTTCATAAAAAAAAGATTGAAAAATTGAAAAAATTTCTGAACGTTCTTTCATTAAATATAACCAATTACAACGAAAAAATTGTCTATAAAAGTAACAAAATATTTGGACCCTAATGTGGAGGAAATACGACTTGGACCCCAAACATCTGAATGAACTAAAGTAAAAGGAGATGAAGCTCGACTCATAGTGTGACTAGAAAAAGAATTACGAACATGTTTGCCTAATTGACATGACTCACAAGATAAAGACTCTAACTTAGAAAGACTAGGGTATAGTGGTTTCAACTTATCAAGACCTGGATGTCCTAATCGAGCATGAATCAAAAGTGGAGATGTTGCTGCCGAACCAACAAGAGAGGGCTTGATAAGCTAATAGAGGCCATGGGACTCACATTTGGAGCCAATCGTCCTTCCCGTACTTCTGTCCTGCAAGGAAACATAATTTTTGGTGAAAGAGATGACAATCAAGAGATCAGGAAAGTTGACTAATGGAAAATAAATTAAAGGGAGCTTCGAGGATATAAAGGATATTGTGAATAAAAAGAGAAGGAAGAGGATGAACAACACCAACACCTTGGGACTGAGTTTGAAAGCGATTTGCGATGGTAACGAAAGGTAGATAACTAGAAGTAGAAAGGGAAGAAAAAAGGGATTTATTATTAGTGATGTGATCAGTGGCCTCAGAGTCAAGGACCTAAGGGCCTGAAGAGTGAGAGAGACTAACGAATGAATTAGTAGTGTGTGCAACAACAACAGTGGAACTAGAGGCCTGACGATCTTCATATCATTTTAGGAAATTGTCATAGGAAGGTGATGGATTTGGATCCAAAGCCAATGACAGCATAGAAGTGGACGAAGGAGACAGAACTTTGGGCCACCTAGGCAGTGTGAGGAGGTCGACCATGTAGAGTCTAGCACTTATCAATTGTGTGTCCTAGTTGGTGGCAATGATCACAACAGGGACGTCCTTTGCCGTCCTTTCACTGTGGAGGTCGGTTGGTGTTGCGAGAAACCAAAGAAAAAGAATCAATAGGAACAGGAAGTAAAGGCTCAGAGGAGGTTTTGGGGGGGACACGAAGGAGGGTCACCCAGGTACTGTCCATAGTAGCTTTTGTGAGGCTCTCCAGGATCTGATCACGAACATGAGAATATTTTGGGGGCAGACCGTATAGAGCTAAGGACATGAAAAACTTTTTGTGATTGTCAAGTTTTACATCTGAAGTGGCAGCGGGAGGAAGAAATTCATTGAACTCATAGAGAAGGCTAGATACCGAGCCAAGATAAGTCAACATAGAATCCTTAATCTGATGGGTACTAAGGATAGTTATGAGGTCTTCACAAACTTGGTAGAGTCGCCGAGAATTGTTTGTAAAGAGTTGTTGGGCCTATGTCCAAACAGCTTTGCAGGTTTTGTGAGTGTGAAAGGCATCATGAAGAGATGGGTGAATGGTGGCTCGGATGATACTGCACAACTGAGCGTCAACCTTTTTCCACGAAGGACGGTCGGCCTCCAGGACATTGTCTGCTGTTTGGGTGAGATTTGTCTCATAACCTTGTCCAACAAGCCAAAGTTCAATGTAAAAAGCCCAGGAGAAGTAGTGCTTACCATCCAACTGCTCAAAAGAGAGAGGTGCAGTGACATGGTAAAAATCTGAGTGTCAGCTTTTGGAGTGCTGGAGGCAGACATTGGTCAGCGAGAAGAGGGAGAAAATGCCCAAACAGCAGCGAAAAGGGGCAAAACAAGGGAAATAAATGTCCAAACAACTAACCAAGACTGGATACAGGTAGAGGAGAGAGGGGTGAGCAAATCCCAGCCGACGGCGTCAGGAAAGGATGCAGGACGCGTCATCACGCGTGGAGAGAGAGGGTGGCGCTTGAGAAAACGCGATAGAGAAGAGGGCGGTGCGTGGTGGTGCGTGAGGATTCCAATGAAGGTGCGGTTAGCAGGGTTTGGCCAATCTGACAAAGGCGACCACAACGGCGGGGTTGCTGTAGTGATTGGAGGTCAGATGGCGGCGGTGTCGGAACAAGAGGGTGAAATGTCGAAAATCAGAGATGAAAAACAGTTTCCAAAAAAAAATTGGCACCGGTGAACAGTCCACCGGGGAAAAAAATGGATTAGGGTTGTCTCTCCTTAGGCTCTAGATACCATGTTGAGAGAAAATATTGAATCCGTGTTTTAGGGCACAACGGAGTTATTTAAATTTATTGGGAAGAGTACATAATTACAAAATATACAATTATTATATTTATAAGATTCTAATAGATTCTAACAGTTGGAAATGGTTTATTATATTAAAAATATTTTTATGCTATTTTTAATGATTGATCATAAGTCCTATGATTTATGATATATTTCGACTCAATTTGGAAACAATCCTTCTAGTTTGCAATTTGGTTCATGTTTTATAACCCAGGTCGATAATAATGTTGCTCATGTAGTTGTAGAACTTTTATTATTTTTGCACAAAAGAAGAAAGTTGTTATGGGAAAGAAGAAATACAAGGGAAAGAGAGGATGAGATGTCTAAGCAAGAAAAGTGCAATGGCTTTAATACAAAGATCTTTTCTTTACCTTTGCATATTTAAATTATTGAGGCTGGATAAGCTTGGAAACTAGCTACTTTGTTTTCTTCTGTTCCATACTTCATGTAGCCCATGCATGCTGCTTCTTGTCTCTTGGTGCTGCAATAACTCAGTCTCTGTATGCGCATGCCTGTGAAGTTGTTTTTCTATTTAAATTTCCCATCAGACTAATATTATTTGCTTACAGAAGATGAGGATGAGGATGAAGATGTTCATCTAGCTCCAAATAGTGCTGATGATGCACCCAGAACTATGCCTCAGCAGGGTTCTTCTGGAGAAGTAAATGCTGTGTCCAGTCGCCCTTCTGGTTGTATTGTTGGTATTATAAAGAGAAACTGGAATTCGTAAGTATATTTTTAATTACTTGGAGTCTGTTGGAAATATGTAAATAGTCTCTAAGTTCATCGTATGGTGCATGGGCTGACGAAAGCATGTAAATTTTGTTAATTAGGGAAACTATAATTTTTGCATTTGTTTATTATCTTTTAGTTTATGTAATTCTGCTTTGCTGTGTAGTTTAGGTGGATGAAATTCAACCAATGTCTCATTTTCCTCTTTCCTTAACAAAGCATTTCTGTTTTACTTAACAATTTTGCATTGAGCTGATTAGAAAATGAAATTATTAGTTTTTCCAGTAGAAAAAACACACACCTCTTTTATCTCCAGTAATTAAGTGATCTGCTATTGTCATTGTCTTGTGTCACTGTTTGTGTTGGAGAAATGTGGAGTTAGATCTGAACTTAAATGTACATATGCTAAACAAGTAAATTTCCAATAAAAGTGAAACGTATTGATACTGGTCAAAGGATGAGTGTGAGTTTTGATTTTTGGCCTTCAAAATTCATGTATTTTTTTAATACTGAATGCACTATCTGTGAATAACATGCATTCATTTTACTAGCACATGAAGCTAAATTCCATTGCATTCTACATCGTTCTAGATAAGGCTTGAGAAATGTTAAAATGCAGATGGAGGCCAACATTTTACAACATGTCAACCTTTACTTTTGTGAACATTTCGTATTTTTGTTTTTCACATTTGATAAAATTCTTTTCCATGGTATGCATCTGGAAGTACTGGTGCATAAAATAATTCCACAAATATAAACCCAGAAATAGGGTCAAAGGAAAGTGATCTTTTATTCTTTTGGAGGACCCAAGCATTTAAATACTTTAATTGGATGGTAGGATTTATTTTTATCACATCTGAACAGCCAAGACACTTATTGACGCAATCTTGAACTAACAATTCCATTATGTGTAGAAATGATCAACCTTAGTATGTACAGTGAAGGGAACCTTTATTTGCAAAGTATTTTCATAGCTGAATATGGATTATGTGATGTGAGTTATGATTATGTGGCATGGTGACCAACCTATTTCGTACGTCAGCTAGCTTTAGATGAGGCATATAAGGTGAAAAATTAACTAAAATTGAAAGAATGTGAAAATTTGAAACGTCTTTCTGTATAAAGGTGCTTGTAGATTCTTCCTGTAAGATAGATTTGCTATGTACTTGATTTTAACTATATCTGTTTGATGGGCCAAATGCTACTAAGACCCAACCAAATAAGGGCAGATGGGGAAAGGTCTATTTTTGTAGGCAAGGGCAAAGGTGGGAAAGGGTGAGCCGGTGGGGCAAGAGGTGTGAAGAGTTAGTTAGAAGAGAGAGAGAGAGTATGTAAGGGATAGTGAGTGGGGTTGGAAGGCATGTATTCCGTTTTTCCTTAAGCTTAGGCTGGGCTTGGAGAATTCTCTCCATTGCTGGGAGCGTCGCTCTTATCCTTCTGTATTCGAATTTGAATTTCAGTTCAATAAACTCATAATTCTCTCTGATAGGAATTTCATCTTATCATTGTTCTGTAAATGTTAAGCCTTGCTAACTGATCAAATATTAATTGATTACTGTGGGTCTGCATATTTGATATTTCATTTTCTAAATGACTGTGTTCTGTTTTTTCATGATTGGTATATTTAAATTGTCCTTTCAGGTATTGTGGATCTTTGGAGCCAATGCCTATGCCGGCTGGTAGTGGTGGTGTTGCCCATGCCTTGTTTGTCTCCAAAGATCGCAGAATTCCCAAGATTCGAATCCAAACCCGTCAACTCAATAACCTTTTGGACAAGAGAATTATTGTGGCAGTTGATTCTTGGGATCGTCAATCTCGATATCCATCAGGTCATTATGTGCGAACTATAGGAGAGATAGGTGATAGAGATACTGAAAGTGAGGTAAGGAATAATGGATTTGCCTTTCTTATTTTTCTCTCAGTATGGACGATCAAAAGACAATGACTGTGCAGGACTTTATGCTTGGTTGCTATTATGTTTCTGATGAAGCTGTTGCACATATTTTGCATAGGAAGTGATTTCTTTCCTTCATCTCATTACCTTCTGAGTTGATTAGACTGTGAGGTTTTAAATGAAGAAGTTGTGAACACAATGCAATCATCACTCACTTGAGCAAACCGTTAGGAACCTTGCTACATGCTAATGGTCTCTGCAAATTACTCCACTTGTTCCGTTTTGTTGATTCCTTCATTAACTGGAGAGGAAACTAAATTGAAATTTCTCTTCAATACTTCAAGGAAGCATGGAATTGAAAATCCCCATCCATACAGAAAAGGAGGCATTTAAAATATTTGCCACACTGTTGTAGGACAGCACTAATTAGATACTATGAACTGCAGACATCGTTAGATTCTACTATCCTGCACTGTATCCTATAATTTTTATTTATTTTAATTTGTCTTTTGTTCCAATATGGGTTTGATATCTATAGAGAGAAGAATGTTGTGTGTCGTGATCACACATGAATGATGTTTATAATCACATAGAGGGTACAACAAAATTGATCATAAATACAAAAGAATAAAAGTAAATACCTAATTTAAAGTTACTTATAATGGGATATCTAATCATATCCCTTATTTTGTGATGATTATTTTCTAACACTCGCCCTCAAGTTGGAGTAGATAAGTCAAATGAGCTAAACTTGTTATAAATGTAGTCAACACAAGAGCCTCTGAGGAATTTAGTGAACATGTTAGCCAACTGATCATTAGAGTGGACAAAAGAAAGTGAGTAAGAGACAAACAAAAGTGATTTTGGCCACAAAGGAATATTGTCCCTGTAATCTAGACTAAAAATCTGTGTATATCCTTTAGCCATCAAGCAAGCTTTGAAACTGTCAATATTACCATCAAGCCCAATTTTTATTGTATAAACCCATGGTCAACCAATAGTAGTCTTGTTAGGAGGTAAAGGAACAAGGTCCCAGGTGCCATTTCATCCAATATCAGCTAGTGCCAGCAGGGATTAGTCATAACTTCACTTGTAGACTTTAGGAATAGACACAAAATCCAAAGAAGAGACAAAGGAGAAATATGAAGGAGATAAATGGTCATAATGTCATAATGAAAAGTACAATCATAGAGTGGATTAGGATTGCAAAAAGACCGAATACCTTTGCGTAATGCAATGGAAAGTTTAGGTGCAAGTGATGTAAGTGGAGAGGTAGTTGGATCAGGAGATGAGGTTGAAGGATCATGAGTAGTAAGCACTGCCAGAATTTGACACTCTCGTTGGTAAAAGAGAGGACGTGAAGTAGAAGCATTCATTGGAGCTGGAACAGTAGGAGGAATATTAGCAGTGTTCATTGTAAAGCAAAGATTAGGAACAACAGAAGAGGAAAAGAAGGGGCATGTCTCAAAAAAATGTGACATCAGCAGAAGTAATATATTGTTGAAGCTGAGGACAATAACAACGATAGCCCTTGTGGAGACGTGAGTAGCCCAGAAAAACACATTCGAGAGCTTTGGTAGAGAGTTAATCTTTACTTGGAGTGAGATCATGAATAAAACATGTGCAACCAAAGACACAAAGAGGAATAGGGTAGAGTTCCTGTTGAGAATCCACGGGAGAATAGTGAACTTGACTTTGAAGAATAGAGAAGGGCATGCGGTTGATAAGAGGACATGAAGTAAGAATTGCAGGACCCTAGAAGCAAAAAGGAACATTATGATGAATAATTGTATGTGCAGTTTCGACCAAATGTCATTCTTTCTTTTGGCAACACCATTTTGCTGTTGTGTATGAGCACAAGATGTTTGATGAACAATGCCCTGTGAAGTTAAAAAGGATTGCAACTAGAAAGACATATTTGAGAGTGTTATCAGTGCACAGTATTTTAATTGAAGAACCAAAATAATTTTGAATTTCAGTCCGTAAACCTTGAAATACAGGAAAAACATAAAAATGCTTTTTCATTAAGAATAACCAAGTACAACGAGAAAAATCATCAATCAAAGTAACAAAATAATAATAGCATAAAGTTGACTAACACAAATAGAACTCCAAATATCGGAGTGAACCAAATCAAATGTTGAAGCACTTTCATTGATGCAACTACTATTGGTTTTTCTGTAGCTTTTCTAATTGACACGACTCAATTAAAAGATGAAATTTTGGAAAAATGAGGTAAGATTAGGATGACCAAGCTCTAATGGTCAAGAGCTGGATAGACATCAGAGACACAAGCAACCAATGGTAGAAGTTGGAATAATTCTCTAGACTAATGTCTTGCTCCAATCGTCTATCCAATACGCCGATGTTGAACTAGAACAAACTTGATAACAAAAAGAACAGAGTAATTAAGAGTGCAAGTAAGCTTGCTTATGGATATTAAATTTAAAGGACAACCCAGAACATAAAACACATCATTCAAGTAAAGATTAGGAAGGGGGTGTGTTTGACCAATGCCCTGAACTTTTATTTGAGATCCATCTGTCAAGGTAATACAAGGAAGAGAATCCAAATAAGACAAATGAGAAAGAAGTGATTTGTTATGAGACATATAATTGGAAGCACCGGAGTCAAGGGTCCAAGGGTGAGAGGAGGACAGAGAAATAAATGCTTCAGGATTACTAGACTAAGCAACGGTGACTAATAGGTGAGGTGGGCTGTTGAGCTGCCTTGAACTTGGTGCAACATTCAGCTTCACATGGAATAAGGAGGATGTTCGTAAACATTGTTGCAGCATTGGAGGAGGAACTTGTAGAAGCCATAGAAGTTAGGTTGGAGAAGGGGCTGGATAGAAGCACCCAAGGGTGGAGAATGAAGTGAAGAAGTTGCTGGCGTGCTGGAAAACTATGTGTGTGCAGTTTTGTGTAGGTGTGTGAGTTGCACGCCGCAGCAAGATGGGGCATGTGCGGCAGAGATCGGGACAACACTCAGGTGGTGGTGATTGCCGGGAGGATCTGGTGTTGGTCACAGGGTCAAACTCGCACAGGATTCACGGTACTGTTTACCGGAACCAGTGTTATCAAATGGCGGGCATGGCAGAAAACAATGGCAGTTTTTCAACAATCCTCCGTACATATGGCAGGTCATGGTGGGTTTGTAATGGTGGGTCATGGCAGCTGTTATTTGCTGATTTGACCTAGTTTCACAGTGACCAACATAAAAACTCTAAAATGTAGACTTTCAACCTTGTTGGCCTCTGTTATCAGTCTCAGCTACATCTTTCTCTCTCACAGAAACCTCTCATCTCCTTCTCTCACCTTCCCCTTCTGTCACATTCCCTGTGTGTGACCACAAGCTCCTGCAACCCTTTTTTTCCAGGGAGCAAGTTTATTTGTTGCTTGTTTTGTTTTATCCTCCTTCAATCTACTTTTCTTTTCCCTTCTCCACACTCCACTTTTGTCCTCCATTCGCTCTCTCTCCAATTTTTTTTTTTGTTTCAACTTTCTTTCTCTTCTCAGATTTCCTCTCTCCGTTTTTTTTTTTTTTTTTGAATTTTCCTTCTCTGTTTTTCATACATTTTTTATTCTAACACTGCTGCCTTGGTTTGAGCAGCAGTTTTCCTTAACATAGCCTAACAACAAGCTTCCTCAAATTCTTAAAGGGCAGTTAATCGGATGAATCCAACAATCTTCCTCAATTAGTCTTTCTATTTTTCTTGTTTTTTATCACTTTGTTTCAGTTGAGGCCTGATGGCTTTTAGTTTGTATTGAACTTGTCTTGGAGACTTGGGCTATTATGTTATTATTGGGCTATTATGTTATTATGAAATCTTCTTATGAGGCATATGATATTATTTGATGATTTTCTATCAATTAGATTCTTGATTTTGACATATGTAGTTAGTCTTTTGGTTTTATAAATTCTGCATTGTTTTTTTAATATATTTGATGTTATGATAGGTTATATGTTCTACGACATTAATATTATATTATTGTTATTATTTTGAATAATGCTGTACCTTAATTCTAATGTTTTAGCAAATTGCATACCCGTGTCTTGCCAGTGTTGTATTTGATACCTGTACTTGTATGATCCATACATCATACAATAGTCATTTATATATTTTCATATATATGAATCTAATAATGCAACTATTTGTTATATATTTTAAGTCAACTAAACCATATGAATAATATGGCATCCCTTCTCCTATTTGTTACAATATAGGTGGTTTTGATAGAAAATGATATAAATTCACGGCCATTCTCTTCCCAAGTGCTGGCTTGCTTGCCACCATTGCCATGGTCTGTCTCTTCTAAAGATTTGTCTAATCCAATTAGGCAGGATCTGCGTCATCTATGTGTCTTCAGCGTTGACCCTCCAGGTATGGTCATCTTTAATCTTTCATTTGTATGATGATGCCAAGGGTAAATATTACTGCATCATATGTTATTAAGTTTTATATATAAATATTTTAAATGTCAAAGACTATACTTGGAAAATTGTTCATGTAATGTTTAGAGATTTGAAATTCATGAAACTTACACCAAATCTCAATCATTAAATTGAAATAACATTGTGAGAGTTTCAGGCAGAATAAATTTTATGACGAAGATTTTACTATTTGCAATTTCGTCATGCCTTGAGATGATGCAACCTTTAAGTACAAATGTACAATTCAAACTCGTGCCATTCCTTGGGGGTATTTGACCCATAATAGTCAATAGTGGCGAAGCAGAGTGGAGTGGCATCCTGCTGCTATTTGCCAATTGTTGTGTGACTCGCGTCACATTTTGATGTAGTGGCTGTTGCGCTGCAAATCATGGCCACTATTCCATGGTAAAAACCGATTTTACCCTCCCATTTTGATTGTTGGACACTTTTTTAAGTGGGGCAATCTTGGGATTTTTCCCCCTTTTACATAGCTGATCTTCTCCTTCAACGTCGAACCCTAACATTTTCCTCCTATTCCATTTCTCACTTTTTTGTTGTGACCTGCTTTTGTTCCTCTTGCTTCTGTGCTGCAACATTGAGATTTGACAGTCACCATTTTCAACGAACTTCTTGTTGTCTTCATCTTTGGTCGTCTTCTTTATCTTCGACAACGTTTTTGATGTGACGTAGACGTTTTCAGTCATCTTCATCTCCGGCGAAGCTTTAGACATGACTAGACGTTTTCTAGTCATCTTCGTCTCTGACAAAGTTTTTGACATGACCCAAACATTTTTTGGTGACTGAACACACTGGTTTCTATTTCCCTTTGCTGTTTATTATTTATTTCCTTCTCTGTTTTGTTCTAAATTTGAAGGCCTAATATAGAAGCAATGGCTGCTCCCCCCAATCAGTCACAGGGAACTACCTCTGTTTGGTTCCTTTATTTTGTTGTTACTTACATTTGACGTGTTATGTTCTCAAACTTTCACTTTTTGATCATTAATTATGCATACGGCTTTAAGTTGTGTATTAATTTTGTAATTTTCAACATATATATGTGTGTAGCTTAATTTATATGAAGTATATTTAAAACTTCAGAATAGCGGTCATCTTGCTCTCTACTATCCCGCTATAGCGTTTTTGGTGGCTGCTCCATTCTGCTATTTGGGATTAACTGCTATGACTTGACCCTATCCCCCCTGTAATTACCATGTAACGATGCTAGCTGCTGTTAGATGAATGAATAAAGAAGATTCATGTTGACTTTGGTTAAAAGAGAATCCAGGAAGAGTTGACCAAAATTTCTCAAACTATGCTCTGGGAGCTTGCTGCAAACCATATAATGGATGGTTGAGTTTGCACACCTGAAGAAGAGAAAAACAAGCCCAAAGAAAGACATTCTTCACATTCATTTGATGGAGTGACCAGCCTTTGGAAATTGCAATATATAGGACAGTTATAATAGTCATTTTAGTGATAGGGGTGAACATCTCATCATAGCCTACTCCATATTATTGTTTCTTATCCAATGCAATCAACTAGACCTTTCAATGGTTGAGAGAGCCATTCAAATTTAGCTTCACAGAATACACCCATTTGCAGCCAATGAGTTTAACATTTTTGGTAGACAGGGAATGATATCCTAGGTATTATTCTCTTGAAGTGTCCTCTAACATGGATGTGTCTTGGTTCAAAATGTTCAATGTGATACCTCTGGAAAGTGAGTGAGGGAGATGAAACCAGGAGAAGCAAAGCAATGACTAGGAACAAAATTTTGATGGTCAAAGAAAACAACATCCCTAGAGATGCGCAAGCACTGGGCAATGACATTATAACACAATAACCCTTTTTGAGTAGGAGCCATAAAGGCACACTACTTAGATTGAACACCTAGTTTGTGATGCTTCAAAAGTGGGAAGTGGACAAAACATACACAGCCAAAACAGTGAAAGTTATAATAAGTAGGTTGTATGCCATACAGATGAAAGAACTCAGATTCAAACCCTGAATCTTAGAAGGAAGACGGTTGATCAAGTATACAGCAATTGACAGAGCTTCAACCCATAACTGAGAAGAAACAAAGGCCTAAAGAAGAAACAATCGGGTAATATCAAGTGCTGATTCTTCTGCTTTGCATTATCATTTTGTTGAGGCGCATATGGACCCTGAACATTTTGTAGTAATACCCTTCCATTGCAAGTATTCTTGATAGTCATGAGAAATATATTTGCCAAAATTAGTGTGCAAAGTCTTGATACATGTGTGAAAATGGTTCTTAGTACATGACAAAAAATACTTGAACATGTAGAAAACCTCAGATCTAAAGCAGGGAGAGGATATTAATCTAAATTGGCTGTAATCATCAATAAATGTGACAAGATATTTATGCTTGGCATGAGATAAGACAGTTGATATTCCCCAAACATCACTATGAATGAGATCAAAACATTTATCATTACAGTGAACTACAAGCAAACTTGCACACAGAACAATCAAAAGATGAATGAAGGGACATTTTTTTTACTCAATAACCCACTTTTCAATAATTGAGATGGGTGATCCAACTTTTTATGCCAATCCTCATTGTTAAGATGTCCCACATTAGTTAGGAATAGAGTCAAAATACTTCTTATAAGAGCTTGGACAGTCCTTCTCCTTTGAGCTAGCTTTTATGAGTGAGTTAGGTCCAAATTTTTTAATATGGTATTAAAGCTTATTCAGTTTGAATTTTGGGCTGCCCACAGATATCCAGTCCTGTTAGGCCACCTATAGATGTCTAACCCTACAAACTTCACATATCAGATGTCTAGTCATGTGGGGTGTGTGTTAAGATGTTCTTCATTGGCTAAGAATAGAGTCAAAATACTTCTTATATAGACTTGAGTAGTCCTCCTCCTATGAGCTAACTTTTGGAAGTGAGTGAGGCCCAAGTTTCTTAACACTCATATTTATTTGGGACATAATTAAATGCAAAAGAAAAAAAAATACTAGATAGTGAAAAATGGAGGGAAAACAATCTGCAAACTTCTTGGGTTAATAGACGTTGCTTCTCTCAAAGTAGTTCTCCAAACATCCAAAGAAAGGGCTGGACTGATTTAGTAGAGCAGCATGCACAACTTCAAATTTGGGTTGGAGCTTCATGAGAAATTGATCCCGTTTGCTGGTGTTATAGACTTTTCAAACAGAAGTAAGCAAGGCTTTGGAGACATTATCAACATGTAAAATAGGTTAGTTTTCAGCCCATAGATTAAGGAACCTAGAGTATTAGTTTTGAATGGAGAGATTTCCCTAATGATGCGTAGCTATTATTAGCTCCAGCTGAAACCTTTGGGCAACATAATCCTAGTTGTAAACATGCTTCAGGTAATCCCACATCTCCTTAGTAGAAAAGGAACAAAAATTGTTAACCATTTGGGGTTCGACATAACCTAAAATCCAAGTGATAATCTGAGCATCCTTTATTTCCCATGTTTGCAATACAACTGTGGCCTCTTGAGCAGAAAAGGACCCATCAATATGACCCTACGCCCCTTTCCCTTTCCCTTTCATGAACATCTTGAACTAAAACTCCCAAGCAACATAGTTTTTGCCTGTAAAGTGTAAACAATTTTCTTAGTCATTGAAATAAAGAAGACATGAACAGGAGTGCAAAAAAATAAGAATGGAACAGAAACCAGGTAGCCAAGATTGAGAGGAGCTTGAAATTCAAAAGCCAGGGATGGAGCTTGTAAGAACTGATAATGGGAACACCAATCAGAAATGATGTGTTTGAATCACACGACCAAAACCAAAGCACATGGAAGAAGCAAGAGGCCTTCAATGAGAAGCAGTTGGCCATGAATGCAAGGATGAATAGGAGCACAAGCTAACAAAGAAAAACAATTATTGCCGTCTTGTGTGTGACCAAATCAGAACTAGGACCAAGAATGAAAACTGGCCAACAAACTTGAGTGACGCAGACCCAGGAAAAAAGATTGGGATACTTATTAGATACGGATCCAGGCTTCATAGCATATAACTGGAAACAAGAATAATATTAAATTCCCTGGCTAACAATCTGTTTGGGCTCGGGCCCTTTTTATGTGGGTCCTATCAGTCAACTCGTTACTTGTCATTCATAAACAAAATGGAAGTGCTCATATATCTACTGCTTCTAGAATGGGATCCAGTGGAATGCTGCTTATGCGGCACTATTTACTTTTTCCTTTTCCTTTTTTGGATGTGTAACATCTGCATTTTCAAAGATCCTTATTTTATGTTTAGCAATTTCTGTCTTTAGTATTTTCACCTAATCTGATAATGAATCATTTGAAGCATCTGCTTTTCTTTGATGTGGAAGAGAACATGGTGATGGTATAATGGTGTTGTTATATTTTTGCTGCTTCTTGTTCGCAGGCTGCAAGGATATTGATGATGCACTCCACTGTCATGCTCTACCAAATGGAAACTTTGAAGTTGGAGTTCGTATCCTTTGTCTTAAGACATTCATTTTACTGATGATGCATGCCTCAGTAGGCTATAGGTCTAGCTTATACTATTTAATCCATCTATTTTGTTCATCTTTAATGAGTTTCAATCAGATATTGCTGATGTGACGAATTTTGTTCATTCTGGCACTCCCCTTGATGACGAGGCTGCGCAAAGGGGTACGTCTGTCTACCTTGTTGAGCGGCGGATAGACATGCTTCCCAAACCTCTTACGGAGGGTAATACTAATCATTTGACCTTCTTTTATCCGGTGTGGTGTTGGTTATAGCCATTTTTGCCCTTCGTTGATATATCTTAATCTGGCAGATATATGTTCTCTTCGTTCTGATGTGGAAAGGCTAGCATTCTCTGTCATATGGGTATGTGTGATCTCATATTTTGAGCATGATTAAACTTATTGCAATTTATATATTTCATTATTTTGTACATGCATGCGCAATGGTATTGGATAGATATTATTTGGTAATCTAAATATTTATTACAGAATCACAAACATCAGTGAATCCTTCAATTGCCTTTATTTTGCTAAAAGTTTTGGCAATTGCCATTGTGCTCATAGTTAATCTTGGATAGCGGGGTGTAGCGGACGACCCTCAAAACGCTATTGCGGGATAGCACATAGCAGGATTCTGCTATTTTGAAGTTTTTCATATGGATATAAAATATATACACATGCAGATAATTATGTATATAATAATGCTAAAGAAGAACTGTAGAATCATAGAATAGAGATTGTTGCATAGAATCATATATACATAAATAGCATAACAGAACAGTGGTAGGACTGTAGAATCATAGAATAGAGAGAAGAAAGGAAGTGGCTTTTGCCAAAGAAGTCACCCTAAATGAGTGACTCTGCTGGATTGGAGATTGTTGCGAAGCAGAACATAGAGATGGGAGGAGGGAGTGTCAAACAGAGAAGGGGGAGAAGAAAAACAGTGTAGAAAAAGTGGGTTGTCGTCATGTGTCTCTAGTTGCAAAGCAGAAGAGCAATAGAGATGAGAGGAAGGGGTGTCGAAGAGATAAAGAAAGAGAAAAACCCAGGGAAAAGTGGGGTTAGGTCTGAAAACTGAGAAGACTATTTTGCCCTTAAAAAAACCTAAAGATTGTGTCATCATAATGGCAAAAAGAGAAAATCAGCTTATTACTTAAGTATGCTTATTACTTAAATATCAAAAGTCTTTTTTACCCCTAAAAAAAATCCTAAACTTCCCTCAGATTGATGTGCATAATCAATCTCATCTACAAATGCAACTGCCACAGGGCTGGTTTTGTGGCTTCCATGTCTACATTGAACACTATAATACTATAATTTAGATCCAATTTTGCCATTGCATGCTGCCTCCGTTGCTATCTCTGCCAATTTTGTTGCCTGAACTGTATTGTGTATTTATTACTTTTATTCCAAGCTGCTATCATTGTCTGGTTCACCATCTACACTTTATTATTATCACTAATTCTGCTATTGCTATCATGTGCTATAGTACACTGAACAGTCATAATTTACAATCCCCATTTTCTTTTTTGTTATGGCTTTTGACTTTTAAATGAATTGGGACAATACATATTAAAGAAACTGAAGTGCAGTCATGACACACTGGTACATAATCAACATTCAATAAGATTATGCAAGAGTAAACCATAGTAGTCAATAGCAGCCGCTATTATGGAGGAGCAGAGTGGCAGGTCACTGCTATGGGGAGCTTGTAGCATCAGGTTTCAGTGGAGCAGCCATCGCGCCAAATTGTGGGAGAATCTCAGCCATAGCGGCCGTTATTTCATCCCTGGCCAAAACCCGACTTTGCCCTCACTTTCTTAACGTTGGACATCTTTAAATGGGGGTAATCTTGGGATTTCTCCCCTTTTTACATTTCTGATATCTTCTTCCTCACGAGTCCTAAGTTTTCATTTTTATCTCAGTTCTCTGCTTCGTTCTTTCTCATCTTCATTCTCTGCAACATTCTCTTGCTTCCGGTGTCCTTCTTCATCTTCGGTGAGGCTTCTAACATGACAGAGTTGTTCTCCAGTTATCTTCTTCGTCTTCGACAAAGCTTCTAATGTAACTTAGACAGGTTCCATTCGTCTTCATCTCCGGTTGTCTTCTTTGACTCCGGCAAAGCTTTCGACATGATCCAGGCATTTCCGGTCATCTTCTTCATCTCTGATAAAACATCCGTCGAACCTGCACATTTTCTAGTGACTGACCAATTCTTTGTTTTCTTATTTCCTTATCTGTTTTATTTTTGTCTCTGTTTTTATTTCTCTCTGTTTTGGATATTATTTTTATATTAGGTATAATATTAGAACTTCATAATAGCGGCCCGACCATCCCACTATCCGCTATGCTGCCATAGCGTTTTTGGGGTCGGCCGTTCTGCATTGCTATTTGAGAGTGACTGCTATGGAGTAAACAATAGCATAAGTAGTAGAAAGCACTCAATGAAACAGACTATTCTCACTATGCATCCCGAGGGTGTTGGGGTCAGTCCTATCTTCTGAGGGTTCATGATGCAGAAAATACACATGCATTAATATAAATTTTTTGTTATCCTCCAAGTTCATCATATCTACTATGTAACTTTAATAATTTGATCTAAATGTTGATATGTTTGTGGCATAATTCAAGTGTATGTTTGTTGTTTGATTCAACTTATTTTGAAGAAATAATTACTTACTTTTATCAGCTTGCTGAGAGAGCTTTTTAAAAATAAGCAATTATTTTCTCAGAATTAAGCTTTACCAAACATGATATAAATATTTCAAGAGAATGTCATTTGAAGCAATTTATATTTGAGTACACCATTTTTTTCACCAGATCGTACTTAAACTATTTACACTTTCAGGAAATGACACCTGAAGCAGACATTATTTCCAGCAGATACACAAAAAGTATCATAAAATCTTCTGCAGCATTGTCTTATGTTGAAGCACAAGCGAGAATGGATGATAGGTATGATTTTATTTTATCATTAGATCCTTTGTAATGACATGGATATTGATGTGTCTTTAATTTAGCACTATTAGTTATAATTTGGACTGGAAAACATGTTTCTTTTCTGGGATTGTGTTATCCCAGAGTATAATACGCCTGCTATAATTGCTTATGAAATAGCTGTACTGTGTCTTGTGAAGAAAACAAGATCATTGGTTGGAGGGTGTATTCTGACAATTTATTAAACAAATGCCCATGCTAAATGACCGGGCTCATGTTCAAAATATTCAAATTGTGTTAATCTGTACTTGATTGTTCAATTTTTTATGTGCTTACATGACCATTTCTTCTCCCGCACTCCCCACCCCCAATCTTCTTGTGGATTGCTAATTGTAATCTGTTATGCAATTTTAATTTCATGTAGTTTAGTTACTTTATTTTATGTTCCTTTTATACAGTCGATTGATGGATCCACTAACTACAGATTTGAGAAATATGAATAGTTTAGCTAAGGTATGGATTTACTGATGCAGGTTTATTGTTCTACTCACATAATGTTAAGTATGGTTGATTTTATATTGTGTAATGAAATTGTCTGAAGAGTATAGCTTTGTGTATGATCTATCAGAAAATGAGATTAAGGCGTATTGAGAGAGGAGCTTTGACTCTTGCATCTGCTGAAGTTAAATTTCAAATTGACACAGAGACTCATGATCCACTTGATATTGGTATAATATTTTCACCTTTTAATGCCATTTAGTATTTGTCTTTTTTTTCCTGAGGTCATGGAAGGTGGACAATTGTGTAGTCTTATTGAATATGAAGTTCTGCTGGTGCCATTATTCAGTAGGAGGAATGAATGGACCTGTCATTTATTTTTGAAATCTAATTGTACAAAGAAATAAAGAAAATTGTGGGCTACAGATTAGCTTGAATAGCTCATAGCCCCTGTAGGATTGGGTTGGATTTGCCATAATTTTTTCAATTCAAACCATACTATGGGCCAGTCAGCTAGAGTGCATTTGGTATAGCTTGTGGCTGGCTTGACTGGTGAGCTGGATTGAAATATCACTTGGCACGCTCTTCTCAGCCAATCAGTGCTTTGGTAATGATAAATGTGGTTGACATGTTGAATTTATGGGAAGACAATGATGTTAAAACTTAATATTTTAAATTTATTGTATTTAAGTAAGTTTAATTTTGATACATAGTGTAAAAATTTTCATTCTATAACCTAATTAGAAACCATCCTAGCTATTACTTTTAAAGTAATTATCACAAAAAGTCAATAATTTTTAATTATATGTCAATCTATGATTGAATGACAGTGTATCAGTGCATTTTAGTGTAATTCTTTAACTAATTTTTTATTTTAAAAAATCTGTGTATTGTAATTTGGTAAGTATGACACTTTTGTATTGTAAAATTTACAAATTGAATTAGTGTCAAATTTCTTAAATTTTTTAGTTTTAAAATGTTAATCAACTGTATATTAAGTTATGTAAAACACAAGAATAAAAGCAAAACTTGATACTAAGTTATATACCAATGCATGAACAGTAAAAGATTTAGTGAACATATTTTTTTTTAAAAATAACTATTGCAATAAAATGTTTAATGATAATTTTAATTCTTAACCCATTGTGACTTTGTGGATTTAGATTGTCTTTAAATCTGTCATTAGCAATTGGATCTTATTTTAATAAAAATTTTATTAATCTTTACATGCAAACCTATTTTATTATTGAATGTATATAGTGGTCATGAGTTTTTTTTCCTGTACTCTTATGTACAACAACAAAAACCAAGCCTTATCTCACTAGGTGAGGTTGGCTATATGGATCACACGACGCCATTGAGCTCGGTCAAAAACCAAATTTTCAGAAATCTGATTAATCAAAATGTCTTTTTAAATAACTGTCTAAGGTTCTTTTGGATCTCCCTTAACCCCCTCTTTACCGGACTGAGTCATGTAATCTTTCTTTTTACTGACACCACCTAAGGTCTTTTTTGCACATAATCAAACTAGCTTATACAATTTTTAGTCATCTTTTCCACTATAGGTGCTAGTCCAATATTCTTTTGTATATTATTTTGTATCCTGTTCTTTTTTGTGTTTTCACTCATTCACCCTAACATTCTCATTTTTGCAACTCTCACTCTCACTCTTCTATACTCTTATGTATTTCTCCAAAATTAGTATAACATGACAAATTTTGATATAGTATTTTTAAATAAAAAAGTGTTTTTAGAAAGAGTTATAATGACTTATAAATTATAATTGACGATTGAGAGAGAGAGGAATTTACAACTGATTTTTATTAACTTGAAATAGACATATAACTGTGTCAGGAAGAGTGTTGTGGATAACTTTTAAAAGAAAGGGTGTTTATGTCTCATATATTCAGGTTATGCAATATATATTTAGGGAATTTGTGATCATAAAAGGAGAAAGATGTTGGGAGTTATTTGTAATCAGAGTATAAGTTAGGTAGTTAAAATGGAGAAAAACATGAGTTATATGGGATGATAAAGTACTTGTCAAACTTAAAGGAAAGTTGTCATATTGTTATACTACTAAGTACTAACTATCTTTTATGGTTGTGAATGTTGAGTTTTAAAGGGACAAACATGAGAAAAAAAAGTGAGAGTTGTAGAAATGAAAATATTAAGATGGATGAATGGTCTTATAAAAAAGTACAAGAAAAGGAATGATTGTATACGAAGAAATCTTGGATTAACACCTATTGAGAAGATGAAGAGGAGTAGAGAGAGACTTGGAATAATTTTTGAGGGGTTAAAAAATTTACTCTCAAAAGCTAGTTCATAGGAGGAGGACTACGGTAGCACTTATAAGGATTATTTTGTCTCTATTTCTAATCAATTTGAGACATCTTAACACACTCTTTTGACGCTCAGGATTGGACATATGATGCGTGAAATTTGCAGGACTGGACATCTGCAGAGGTGGACAGACCCCACTACTCGTCGTATTTAGTTTGGTATTGCTACCGCACATGACTTTGAGAGTCATGATGATATTACTGAGGAACATCTTTATTAGAACATTTTTACTTCTCATTTTGGACAATTAGCAATAATTTTTGTGGACTTTGGGAATCTATTTCATGTAGCGTGGCAAGGGAATTTTGAGGCATGGGTACAAGATCTTTTACATGTAAGAGCTATTTCTCATGCAATGTGGGATCCTTATTTTGGTCAACCCGCTATAGAAGCTTTTACTCGAGGGTGTGCTCTTGGTCCAGTGAATATAGCCTATTCTTGTTTATCAATGGTGGTATACAATCAGTTTACGTACTAATTTCTATTATTTATTTCTACCATATCTTTAATAGTAGGTTGGTTATTTCTAAAACTAAAATGGAAACTGAGTGTTTCGTGGTTTAAAAATGTCAATCATCATTTGTTAGGACTATTCGGAGTCAGTTCCTTGGCTTGGCTTGGACAGGCGCTGATACCATGTTAAGAAACTTAGGCCTAACTCACTCCTAAAAGTTAGCTAATAGGAGGATGAATATCCTAGCTCTTATAAGGGATACTATGGCTCTATTCCTAACCAATGTGGAACATTTTAACACTCTCTCCTCACGCTCAGGAATGGACATCTACATGGGTGGACCTAACAGGATTGAATATCTATGAATAGCCCAACATTCAAATTGGAATAGGCTCTTATACCATGTGAAGAAATTTGGGCCTCACTCACTCCCAAAAGCGAGTTTATAGGACGAGGACTACTCTAGCCTTTATAAAGAGTATTTTGTCTCTATTCTTAACCAATGTGGACAAGAGGAAATTATTAAACATGATCTCATGGTAAATATTATTCCAAAGAATTTGATATTGGTTGAGCTTAGTAGCATCGTGTGATTTATGTAGGTGATTTCACCTAGGGGATAAGGTTTTGTTTTTCGCAAGGTTGCTAAATTTGAGAATTTACATAAACTCATGGAGTGTCTGAAAACTCAAATCATGAAATTCATGCAAAAATAATATTTAAGAAGCCATAATAATAAAATAAAGCTCAATAATAAAGTTAAAATCATACTTAAATAGCCAAATCATGTAATGATAATGTGATTTTGGTGCTCTAATTGTAAATGTGGTGTATCCCAACTTGCGGAGAGAGAAGAAAAGTGGTTTCCAAATTCTAAATGGTGTTGTGTTATTTTGGTGAATAATATATGTGATTTTCTCTTTGTTTTTCTAAACTTGTAAAATCTAGAGTAAACTCACGAATTTACCTGAGTTTACCCGAAAAAGTGTTTACCTTAGATTTGACCCGGTTTCCTTATCAAAGATGATGGAAGTTTAAGTGTTTAACAGCTGTGGTTGTTGTTGTAAGAGGAATCTAATGGCCCCTCTTCCGGAAGTAATTTTGGGTCCTTAACAATTTGAACTTTTCATGTTCCTTTGGATTAAATATTTCTTATTATCAGACCTTGAATTAATTATCTCTAACTATGAACTCTTGTTGCTGATATATCTACAGAAAGATTATCACTTTCAATATATGTTCTCCTCGTTGCTTCTTGGTAAGGCTTGCACTTTAAAGCTGTTGTTCTAGATCCTTTTATTGAAAGATTGGTTTGGGAATCCAGCTTGTGGTTCTGGATTGATGAGACCTTGTGAGTGTAGGTTTTTGAAATTTGGGTGTCTTAATTAACTTTTTTGAATTGATAATGTAATCGTTAGAATATTAGGGTGATGTATGTTAAGTAGTCCTTTTGGGTTCAAGTTATGTAGTGCTGATATATTGTTAGTGCTATTGCACTGAACTTGTGCATACAATTATTCAAAGTCTCATTTCATTATTGAAATATATTTTCTCTTTTCCATTTTCTTCTAACAGTAATTTGTTTTCTTTCTCGAGACTGTTTAGTTATGGTTAAATTGGATATTTTGTAGGATAGTGATTGAGTTGAGGTTGAAGGTTTTCCTTTTCATTTTGCTTTTAGTTACTCCTTCATAGAAGCTGAGGGACAAAGACAAAATTTTCCCTTTCTTTATTAAAAATTATTTATACTAGTTGATTTTGCTTGCAGGCATGTACCAGATTCGGGAGGCCAATCAAATGGTAGAGGAATTTATGCTTGCAGCTAATGTATCTGTTGCACAACAAATTCTGAAAACTTTTCCATTGTGCTCATTATTAAGGTTGTTTTTTGATCTGACCTTTTAACATCAGTTTGATATGGTTTTTTTTCTTGGGAAGGGCTTCCTTCATGTTTGCTATTGGGTTTACAGTGAATCTAAACTCTGCTTCTACCTCTATACTATTATTTTGCATTTTCCCCCTTCATTTTGGTTGTTTTTCCTTGTCAACTACAAGGTTTTAATAGTTGAATTGAGGATTACAAATTAAATTCAATATTCATTTAGTACGTTAATAGTTTTTGATTGCATGGACTAATTCAAATATTTCTTTAGTGAAGTGTTTTGGTGGATGTAGTGTGTGAAAACAGAATGAATCTCGAAGCATAACTGATGTAGCACACACAAGAGCCTAGAATACACCAAAAGTTAACGTTAGTCTTTGATTGAAAATTCAACCAAAGATATTGGTAGAAACATAATAAAAACACATTCAACTATGATGAATCTACCCTATTATTCTTCTGTGGATACTAGTATCAGTACCTGTGTCGTAGATAAACAATATTAAGATGTCCCACATTAGTTAGGAATAGAGCCAATATACTAAGAGATGGGGTAGTCTTCCTCCTATGAGCTAGCTTTTAGGAGTGAGTTAGATCCAAGTTTCTTAATAGTTATTAATCAAAAAGTCTCTTTTAATAACTTTCTCTAAAGTTCTTTTGGATTTCTGTCTTTTTTTTTTTTATTGGACTAAAAGTCATACCATCCACTCTCTTCATCAGTGCTTCCAAAGGTCTTCTTTGCACATGACAAACCACTTTTAATGGTTTTTAGCATAGCAGTCAATAGTGGTAATAATGGGCCTGATTGTGGAGGAGCGGCTCTTGGCCATGATTTTGGGGCCATTGTGTCACAGTTCAGTGTAGCGGCTGTCATGCCGCGATTCATGACCGTGAAAAGGGAAAATTGTTGCTATGTCAAATAGGGGAAAAAGGGAAAGTTTGTTCTCCCTTTCTGATTGGAATGCTTTTTAAGGAGGACAATCTTGGGAATTTTCCCTCCTTTTATATTGGGGTGCTCTGTGCTTCTCTGTCTTTGCATGTTAAGATTGAAGCTTACCTCAATCTCCAGTGTCACTTTCTGGCCAAGTTCTGGTCGTTTTCATATCTGGCGAAAATCAACTTATTTCTAGTGTCAGAAGAAACATTTTTCCAATTGCCTTCTTCATCTTCAGTAAAACCCATGTCAAGCTATTTTCGACATGTATACATTTTTTATGATAGTGAGACATTTTTCGATGAGACTATTTGCATTAGAGATTTTTCCAGTGATTGACAACTCTTTGATATATTTTCCTTCTCTGTTTTGATTGTCTTGAGAATGGTGATCATCTTGTTATCGACTATCCTGCTATGGCATTTTTGGGGTTAGCTGCACCATGCTGCTATCCAGGATTGATCACTGTTGCTTTTAGTCAATTTTTCTACTGTAGGTACTATTCCAATATTTATATGTATATTATCATTTCTTATCATGTCCTTTCTTGTGTGATTACTAATCCACTTAAACATTCTTATTTTTGCCACTCCTACTTTTTTTTTCGTGTTGTTCTTTTAAGTCTCAATATTTACTATCATATAGAATAACTACTTGTATTGTAATATGCTAAAATTTTCTTTCAACTTGATAGGTATTTTATGGTCACAAGTTACTCCTTATGTAATTCTTTATTTTAACCATCTAACTTTTATTTTATAAGTAACATCTTCATGAATTTCTCTATCATTTTGTATAATCAATTCAGTAATTGAACCTGGAAATTTGTTGTATAATATCATCTCCATCTCTTGAAAATGATTCACTACCTGGGAAATCCACCCAGTTGGATCATTCTATGGGCAATTCCACATTCTTAACTGATTGATGGAATTCATATAATAATTCCCCTTTCAGCCTTTTTCATCGAGAGGAAAATGACGATTTCTCTAACTCATGTTCATTCTCCTCTTTTTCCACTTCCTTTTTCTCATTCTCATTGCTTCCTGTTCCTTCCTTTTTCTTTTCAAAATGACTCACCTCCAAGCTCTTGGTGAGAATCGCAATCAACTGCTGCTGGTTCGCATCAGCTTTAGTCTGTAATGCAGCAAAGGATGATTGAAGCTACTTTGTTTTCCAGAGTTGCTACCTTGGCCTCCATCTTTCTCCAGGGCATTCAAACTCTCCTTCTGCACTGGCCTCTGTCCCTCATCGAATTTGAACGGTCAGACCAGTTTGAACAAATCCATTTCAAGAATGAAAATAAAACAACAAATGAAGATGAAACAATGTGTATTATTCAAATATTAAGGAATTCAGTAGCAAGGATTACTGCCTAGAGCCAAGCTCCTACAAAGAGCTATTGCTCTCCATCTATACATAATAAAATGATTCTCCCAAATATCCCCCCTTCTTGCTGCTTTGAATCATTATAAGGGCATGTACACCCCACTCAATAACTAATTTCTTTCTCTTTACTCTCTCACTTTCAGCTTAGCACCTTTTGCGATCATTTCTTTATTCTTCCTTGAGTAAACCCTGCACACCTTGGGCCTATGACACAACTGTTGAGCCCATTCCTCCTTTTGACCCTGTAACTCATTTTGGATCCTATCAAACTGCATGATTGCATGATAATTGCATGTCTTGTTTGTAACTCCTATAAAAGACATAAATAAGGCTAAGAAAATTCAAAATGCTTTATGAAAAATCAGCCCATAAAATTCCTACGAATTTTTTTTTATAAAATAAATCTGGACTTATTTATTATCCAGTCAAATCCATTAACGATAATCCATGAAATTGATAAATTTGACCGACAAATGCATATTTGGACATGCGAATTGAGATCTCAAAATTGCTGTCTTCAAGTTGGGCTATAGACATCATCATCAAGTTGTAGAAACGTGACACAATTAGGTGCAACCTTCAACTTAAGTTGATCCTCTTTTGTTTTGATCTCCATAATTGAGCCTTGCAATGCTTGATTCATTTTCTTTATCTTTGCTCGTTATTGGACCTCCAATTACGTATAAAAGATCTTTAGTCGAGTAGGTTGGATCTTTATCAAAGGACTTCACCCTAGTAACCCAACTGTATACTTCTTTCCTTGAGAACACTGGAATCTCAAATTTCTTCCCTGGTTACAATTCAGCCAAAGTAGTTTCCTGCTTCACCCTCTCTCCAATTCATCAGTAGATGTGTTATGATTCCTTGCAAGGTAGAATTGGAATCAGACATAGCTATACTTCTTGAATTTGTTGCTTTTCTTTCCATAATTCAACTTCCCTTTCATTTTGCTTCCATCCACGAATGCACCAGCTCCTGCTTTTAAGATCATAAACATTGATACCTTTTGGTAAAAGCAAGATCACAACAGTTATGGTGAGTCTATAGTGTTATTCTTTTGTGTATACTGCTATCAGTGCTTGTGTGTTGGATTTACAATAGAAGTGTTAAAATAATATGCAGTTCTTGGATCGCATGATGGTTAATTTGTTGTGTCCACTCATTCTAGTAAGAGTATATATATCTAGATGATCTGCATGACCTAAGTACTGTCCAATCAATCAATTTCACCTGAACAATTCCATCCTATCTCTTCCTCTCCCTATTTACATCCCTTATACTCAATAAGATGAGGAACTAAAACAGAAATAGGGTAACATAGGATGTTTATGAGACCCCGATTCTCTCTAACACGCTTCTTATGCCACCCTTGCTCCCACAAATTCTCTATCTTCTGCTCTATTCAATTTTATATCCACTCTGGTTAAACTCTCCCAATTCCCCCCCTAATTGCCTCAGCTGCACTCCTTCCTAATATATATCTTAGAGTGTGATAGATGGGGATTTTCTAACAAATGCGAAGATAAAACACCCAATGGGATGTTTATAACCCTTACAGTATACTGTAATGAAATCGTAATCAAATTATAAATTCAGACCTCGTGAATACACATAGAATAAAGCCTAATCAAATATTAAAACTAGTAATCAGATAGCTCATCCTAAGGTAAAATGCTTAAATTATCACAACTCAGTATAGTGTCATCCTTTTCATTCTACATCAGTAACCTTCTAGGATCTAATCAATAGCATACCTAGAATTGGATATTCGCAAAAGAATGTGAGTTTGATAATCATATTCTTCCTAGGCATGTGAAACCATTGATTAGAAGCATTGAATGTTTCTATATGATAGAAACTGTTTAAACAACATGTGGCAAAATGGGGTAATTGCTATTCTGATGATTGTTGGTTCTTGTGTAGGCGTCATCCAACGCCTACTAGAGAGATGCTTGAACCCTTGCTACGAACTGCTGCTGCAATTGGCATAAACTTGGATGTCTCATCATCAAAAGCATTGGCTGATTCTCTTGACCATGCTGTGGTAAGTATTTTATCTTGCACTTTTCATTTTCATGTTTTAATTTGTTGAAATCGAGAAAGAACAAGAGAAATAAGATGAATTCCATCTGATTCAACTACACAATAAAGCATATAATTATATTGATGATCGTAAATACTAGAGTAATTATAGAATATGTAGTTACCTAATTATTATATTACAAAGACAAATTTTCTTGTTACTATAGTTACATATATTTAATACTTCCTCTTAGGTTAGAGCATGTTGATCATATGCATTAGGCTTGTTGCATATATGACTAATATGAGGACCTCTCAAGGGTTAGTGAAGACATCTGTCAAATGATCTTTTGAATTAGCAAAGTTAGTGGCGTTGTTTGTAGATAAGATTTTCTCCATAATGAAGTGACAATCTATCTCGATGAGTCAATGTGCTCTGTCCTCATGAAACATCTAATATGAGGCAGTATGCAAGGCTATCTGGTTATCACAAATGAATGTTATTCGAGTAATCTTTCCAAATCTTAGTTCTTTAGATGATTGTTTTAGCAAAATAAGTTCACGTGGCTGAAGCCATGACTTCATATTTTGATTCTGCACTTGAATGATCAACACACTCTACTTCTCACTTTTTGAACAAATCAAATTATCTCTAATAAGAAGCAATAGCCAAAAGTGGATCTTTTATCAATAGGAGAGTTAACCCAAGTTGCATCAATGTAACCCACAATTCGAGTGTGAACCTTGCTTTCATACAAGAGTCTTTCCTAGAGTTCCTTTGATTATAATTGAAGATGTGGATTACTGGATTCTATGTCCTCCACAATGGGATTAAGAAATTGACAGTAAGAGATATTTGAATGAGTAGTAGTGATATAGTTCAGCTACCTAACTAGTTTCAAATATTTCTTTGGATCAAAAAATAGGTTTTTTTTGACTTGGTAAAAGTTTGGAATTAGAATTCATAGGAGTATCTACATGTTTGACACATTAATTTTGTTTCTATCAATATATCCAATGTGTACTTCGTATGGGATATCACAGTCCATTCTTCGATTGTACTACTTTTATTCCCAAGAAGTATTGAAGTCTAGTAAGATATTTTTTTTGAAAATGATGGCATAGATGCTACAATATCTATGTAATGCCATGGTGACCACTGCTTATAATAACAATGTCGTTGACATAAACAACAATCAAACAAGTGCTTCTTGTGGTTGAGTGGCAATAGAAAATTAAGTGATTAGTTTCATTTTGAGTCATTACAAATTCTTGGACCAAAGTGCTGAATTTACTAAATGATTCCCTAGGAAATTAAGGTCATACAAGGATATTTAGTTTAGAGATGGCAGATTAATCCTAGAGACTCTCCCTAATTAACAAAATCAGGAGGTTGATCCATATAAACTTCTTTCTTGAGGTCAAGATGATAAAGGGGCTTGTTAAGAAACTTGGGCTTAACTCACTCTCAAAAACTAGTTCATTAAAGGAGAACTACTCTAGCTCTTATAAAGAGTATTCTGGCTCTAGTCTTAGTTAATGTGAGACATCTTAACACCCCTTTCACACTCATGATTGGACATTTGATGCATGAAATTTGCAAGACTAGACATCTGCACAGTGGCTTAACAGGACTAAATATCTGTTGACAGTTTAACATTCAAATTGAATAGGCTTTGATGCTATGTTGAGAAAAGAGAACAAGAAATATAGGATAAATCCGTGTGTTTTGACTTTACATCGGAACATATATTTATAATAAGAACTATTGATACCAAAACCCTTTTTATAATATTACTATAGTTACATAATTCCAACATTCCCCTTAATCATATATACCAAACTTGTTATATATATAACTAATTTGAGAACCTCTTGAAGACTTGGTATAGACATCTGCGAGTTGATCATGAGAATTTACAAAACTAGTAGTGATGTCTCTGGATAAAATTTTCTCTTTAATGAAGTGACAATTTATCTCAAATGTATTTAGTCCTCATGAAAAACTGGATTTGAATTTGATGCAATATGTAAAGTTGCCTGGTTATCACAAATAAGTGTCATTTTTAACTTATCCAAATCTCAATTCTTTAAGTAGTTATTTAAGCCATATAAGTTCACAAGTGGTTAAAGCCATGACTCGATACTCTACTTTTGCACTAAACCTTGCACCTACACTTTGCTTCTTGCTTTTTCAAGAAACTAGATTTCCATCAATAAGGATGCAATAGCCAGATGTAAACCTCCTATCACTAGGTAATTCTACCCAATACCCCACAACCTGAGTATGTCCTTTGTCTTCATATAAGAGACCTTTTCCTAAAGTTCCTTTAATATATTTCAAAATGTGGATTACTGCATCCCAGTGTCCATCACAAGGAGAGTTAAGGAATTGACTCGCCACATTGACAACAAAAGTGATATCTAGGTGAGTAACTGTTAGATAGTTTAATTTTCCAACAAGTCTCTTATACCTTTCTGGATCTGAAAGTGGCTCCTCCTGACTTGGTAAAAGTTTGATATTAGGATCCATAGGAATATCAATAGGTTTGGCCCCCATCAATCTTGTTTCCTCTAAGATATCCATTGCATACTTCCTTTGAGAAATCATAACACCATTCTTGAATTTGCCACTTCAATTTCCAATAAGTATCGAAGTCTACCAAAATCTTTTGTTTGAAAGTGTTGACAAAAGTGTTGCTTTATCTGTTGAATGCCATGATGATCACTTCCTATGAGTTACCAAATTATCTTAATAAGATAAACTATCACTATAATTACATATATTTAACAATTGTTTTCCATTGTTCTTACCTATATCATTAGCAACAATATCATAATGATTATGGATGCAGCATTTTTAATGGTTTTCCTTTTATTGCTCACACATTGCTAGCTTTAACATTTAATTTTTTAGAGTCGTATTTGGTCTGACCTTCCTCTTATACCTAATACTTCTCCAGGGTGATGATCCTTACTTCAATAAGTTGATCCGCATACTGGCTACTAGGTGCATGAGTCAGGTAAATTAAATTTGAGTGAGAACCCAAATTTAGAAATTTGTGAAAGAGAGTTGAATTTTTATTTTGCTTTGTAGGCAGTTTATTTCTGTAGTGGGGATCTTAGCCCTCCAGAATATTATCATTATGGGCTTGCAGCTCCTTTGTATACTCATTTCACATCACCTATTAGAAGATATGCAGGTATGTAGTTAAAATTAAATAATTTTGGTCAATTGTGCACAATAGTGGGATAAAACCTTTTTTCCCTGCAGATGTCATTGTGCACAGGCTACTTGCTGCTTCTTTAGGAATATCCAAGTTACCCTCTGTATTTCAAGACAGACTCCAGCTCACTAGTATTGCAGACAGTATGAAATCTCCTTCTTGATTTAATAGAATCTTGTTCTTTTTGTATGGACATATATTAATACTGACTATACCCATATATGGTTTAGATTTAAATTATCGGCACAGAAATGCTCAAATGGCCGGGCGGGCCTCCGTAGAGCTACATACACTAATTTATTTCAGGAAGAGGTATGTGACATAACACCTACTGTTATTTTTATCTATATGTACTTTGCAGCCTAATGCTTGTTTATCTTTGTTCGTGCAGGCCAACAGAGACAGAGGCTAGGATAGTGAAAATACGATCTAATGGATTTTTTGTGTTTGTTCCCAAGTAAAGTATCTTACCTGATTTTGTTTTTCAAAATTCTCCTTTGCTATGTAACACAGATGAAGAGGTCAGTACGGAAGACAAAATAAGAGAAGAGAGTGTGTTGATTTATCTGACCAGGAAATGGCTATTTCAGTAGCATTTAGCAATAAAGCAGCTATTCGATTATGCTTTCAGTTTGTCATGTATAGTTTGCATGACCTTTTTTCCCCTCGCAGATATGGTATAGAAGGACCTGTATATTTGACAGCAAGAGCTGAAAAGGGAAGTGGAGAATGGTATGTAGATGAGCAACAGCAGAAGATTAAAAAGATGGATGGTAGCCTCTCATACAGCATTTTGCAGACAGTCAAAATTCACATGGAGGTTGTGGAACCCCAGCCTAACCGGCCAAAACTTCAGCTGACCCTCATGTAAAGATATATGAGCAATAAACAACAGGTATGCCTCAAATATAGCTCCTATTAATTTGCTATTTGAGTCTAACCACTTCTCAAGGAGGTTTCTGGCATTGGAATTGGCCAGCATGATAAAAGTTGTGGAAGGGACAAATATAGATTTAGGAGTGGCTTTGATTGGCAAATATTTGCTAGATGGGACAAAAGATTTATGATTGATGCAGTAAGTTTGTCCTTTTACAACTATTTGCTTTTAATTTGGGAAGTGGGACGTGGAATTTTCGTGCATATGATGCACTAAGCAAATTTGAACAGAATTAAATTGATACACATTAGCTTCATTTGAGAGAATATCAGAAGTTCAGAACTAATATAGTTTGTAAATGTGCAATTATTTAAGAGACTCCACAGCTTTTAGAGGGAAAATTACCCAATTTATTTATTGTTTTTATGTCCCGCATTGGGTTACCCTACCCAGTTTGCGCGCTATATTGTCATCAAAATTGGATCTGGAAGTCATGGTTGCTTGTGGCATAATAACTTTTAGATTTGCACCTATGATCAATCAAAAGAGGAAAAAAAAAAGCCCGGATGATGTACGTTTTGAGAATTATATGCGGGATTCATGTAACGAAGCGCATATGAGCAAGCACCTTGCTCAAATTAATGGATTTTTTTAAAAAAAATAATAATTATATGCAAGGTTTCATAGTTTTTAAAACTGCACTGATGATTCAACCGGTTAAGGCACTGGGTCAAGATTCAATGATTAAAGTATTTTATAAACAAGGCTGCTTTGCAAAAACCATAGTTAAAACTATTACTGATAATTGAACTGGCTATAAAGCATTGATTCAAGATATTTAATGGTTCAACTGTGATTAAACTATTGTTGAAAGGGTAATAATTAAATAATTTTTTAAGATATAATTGGAATATATAAAATAATATTAAACAAAAAGAATCTTGGGCAAACAGAAAAGTCAATACTCACAGAATATATAAAAAAAAAGGCATTCGTATTCTACTTTCAAGGCTAATACTTGAATATGCTACAGTACTTGCTCTAGTTACAAACATTTACAATGGGTAAAAAAAAGCTGATGAAACAACCTTTTTGCCGCAGGGTACAAAACAACAAACATTCAACATTATGACCCAAATAACATTAGATACATGATTATACCTCAACAAACTAGATATTCTCACGACCAAACCAGAAAAGGAACTTGTAATCTGATTCCCCAGTTAGTAGATACAATAAGCTATAATTTTGGGGCGCCGTTTATTACACCATCGAAGCATCATTTTAGCGGTAGAAATTGTTGAGAGTGGACAGTACGTGCAGGTTGTGCAACATTGGGGGTTGTCGCAGTTCCTAGTTTCCTGCAACAAGTTCTTATGCGTGAACTGGCGGTGGTGAACATATTCGCTTAGATGTTGGGGTAGACAAGTCCCGAATTTCCCAAATGAGAGGAACCGAAACTCTCAGACTGAGAAGTGAACTGATATCTGAGGGCAAAGTTCATTGAAACATCACATGGTTCGCATCTGTTACAGAAAAAAAAAATCGCTTTTGGAAACTATTTGGCAAACCACCGGAATCGGAAAACTGCTATTGTTAAAGAGAGTAAATGGAAGATATTTTTTAATTGTTTAGATGGGTGCCTCTGAGGCTCTTGTACTGTATCTTGAAAATAATAGACAAAAAATAATTTGGACATACATCATGTAGATATTATATGGATGGCCTGGGGAAGGTACAATTTGATCCAACTATGTCACGTTGTATTCAGGTTGAGAGGAATAGCTTGAAAATAGCACCAGAGGTGTCGCTTCAATGGCATAAAGTAGCATCTTAGAGTCAAGCTGGTCACCAACAAGATTTGTGGTGGGATCTATTCCTAAATATTTAATGTGATTTTCGATTTATAAAGAATGAAATAAGTACTATTTGTTGTCTATTCAGGAGCAATATGCATGTCTTTGATGCATTCTTTTGAAAGAAAGTCATTACGTTGTTATGACGTTAGGGGAACAATAAGGACAGACATTTTATGGAGTTTAAGGTTCCCATGGTCAGAGTATATCCACTGGCCCGGATCTTTGGCTAGAAGTACTTTCCATGGTGCTTAACAAATTCCTACAAGTCCTGAAGGGAATCCCGGTAGTGGAGCTATTTGCAGTTGGAAGAGATTCCTACCATTGAATTATTATTGAGTTGACTATTGAAACTCCTACCAATTTATAAACCGAGAAAGTTATAGATACAGTCTTACATGGAATCATGAAAAAGGATTTCTAAGCCAAAGTGCATGTCTGCATTTGCATAAGTTTTATGCATCACGTTTTACATTGATTTGAAAACCTATGATGTGTCCTTATGAAATAATTACATGAATTGCATGTAATATTCGAAAGTACTATACGAGGTTGATTTATAAAATTTTAAGTTATATAACAATTTATCACTCTATTTGTATATTCTATTTTTTTTTCTTTTAAATACTACATACTTCATGAAAATATGAAGATTCATACCTGTTTTTTTTATCTTGTATTATATCAATCTTTAATGGTGTGTTTAAGGGGCTGCAAGTATACTTAAAAATTATAACAAGATTCTTGTCAATATTAAAATAATTTTGAGGAACACAGTACATTAGTCGAATCATGACCATACAAGGAGATTGTCTACTCTTACATAAAATTTCATAGATTGTGCAAGTTATATAAATATATGTATTATTTTATGATTTTTTAATGTTAAATTTTATTGATTCGGTAAAACACCAATAAAATATTTTACATTTACCTTATACAATGTGGTATTAGGCATATTATTTGAGAGATTAGCTGTAAAGCAACATGAGATGATTTATGCCTTATTCAAATTTATGTTAAACTCTAAAATATATTGAAAAGGAAAACTTGACTAGTTGCTTATAACATAATAGTATGAAAGATTTAGATTGTGTATGTAATGAATTGTACAGTGACTACTTCTCTAAATAAGAATGAAATTTAGTTTGAGTTGAGTATTAGAAGTCAAATACATCAAAGTTAGAAAAAAAATGAGAGTATTTTTGTTGTCGAAGATTGTTATTACATGCATGACATGACACGTAAAATAAGAGATGAGAAACATAATTGCACTTACATCATGCATATATTACATGAATTATGAGCTGCTTGCTTTTCAGTTTATATGTATAACATCCTTATTTATCTATATAGTTTAAAGAAATACTTTTGGGATTGGAAAGATGAAACCTAAATTAAAATTCACCTGTATCTAAAATGTGGAGTACAGGAATGTAAAACTTCCATTTAAATTAGTCATAAAACAATGAGAAATAAATAAATTTAAATAAAAAGTTGAAATAACATTCATGTACATTGATTTCATTAATATATAAAATTTTAATATTTACAAAATATAATTTCAAAATACATTAGAACTCATCTGCGTCATTTACATAATACAAAATGCAATATGTCCTAATGAGTAGTATATCTACCAAAAATACTAAAGACAATATTAGTCATCATTCCCAAACCACCCCTTTAACTCTGCTAGTTCTTCTAGGGATAAGTCTTTGCCTTCACCAAGATCACCTGTATTAGCTACCACTTAGTGCCCGTGATTCATTCTGTAGTAAAATGGCTTCATCTTCCCTATTGATCATGACCTAAAAAAGTATATACATAATTCCATGCATTTGGCGGTCTTACCAACCCTCTATATATATACAAACATAGAGTGCAGTGGATCCTACCACTACTAGGGTAATCAAAAGGTATATCGTATCCTATCTTCATCAACTACCACTTCAGTGCCCATGATTCGCTATATGGTAAAATAACTTGGTCTTTCATACTAATCATGACCTAGAAAAGTATATACATAATTCCATACATTAGGCACCAACCCTATGTGTATATACAAACATAGAATATGGTAGATCCTACCACTGTTAGGGTAATCAAAAGGTATATCGTATCCTATCTTTATTTCTAAGGTAAACATTCGTTATGCACAATTTAAAAAGAGCATCTACCACCCTCATTTTTTCAAGATTTCCAAAATCGCTTCTATCTTTCACACTCTTATTGTATCTCTGAACTATCCACACTTATCCTTATCATCTTTCCTTTCTCATTCTACTTCTCTTTTTATTTTATTCCAGTCCACTACATATATACATATATTTTCATTATACGTGCTATTCCAAGTCATCAAAAATAAGAAAAATATATTTTATCACTGAGATCATTCAAACATATATTCACAACAAGAAACACACAACCACATCTACATGAGCACAACATATCATGTCATCATAAATGGAATAGAGATCTCCTTATTTCAATGGACAAATTTAGTGATGGAGTTAGTGAAAAAGATGGTCCAACAGGCTAAAACCTTCTTACATATTATAGAGAAGACTACTCTTTAAGAAGAGAGAAAATAGAGGTGAGAACAAAAAGTCAAGCTCTAATACTCACTAACGATTCCATAAAGTTGAGGTTCAATTTTAGATTTAGAGCGAGTTCGAAGTTCATAGGCTTTTCTTTGGCCGGAAGAAAGAGTTAAGAGAAAAAGAGTTATGAAAGGTTTCTTGGATTGTAATGCAAGTTTTTGGGTTAGAATCTCTTAAATACCCCCCAAATCTCATGGGCTCTCATTTGATTACACAATTCTTGTCTGAGCGAGTCCTTTCTCGCCTGGGCAAAAATACCATACAATGGTTCCCCAAGCTTTTTTTTTACTATTCTCACTTGAGCGAGAGATGTCCAGAGAGTTGGCCAATTTTCCTATGAGTCATCACCTAAGCGACTCATCACACCCAAGCAAGATCTCTGCTCGCTAGAACGAGATCACTCTCGCCTAGGCAAGAGGATAGTTGGACTAAATTTATCCTATTCTCGCTTGAGCGGGACTCATCTTGCTTGAGCGAGAATGCCCTGAAATCTTGTAGTTCTGGGCGCTTAGTCTCGCTTGAGCAAGACTCTCTGCACCAAACCTCTACCAAACACCCATAAATCACTCCTAAAACATTACAATATTAACATCAAACAATTCACCAATTAATAAATAAATGAAAAAAAATGTTACAACTCTCTCACTCTTTTAGGAATTTCATCCCCAAAATTCACTAGCTGAGGAAGAGATGAGGATATGTCACCCACATTTTATCTTCAAGTTCTCAAGTTGCATCTTATCATTTGCATTCCAGATCACCTTCACCAAAGATATGTCTTTTCCTCTTAGCTACTTGATTCGATGATCAACGATCTTTATTAGAAATACATCATAAGAGAGATTTTCTCGAACTTGGATAGGATCAAGCTCGATTACATGAGAAGGATTGAGATGTATTTTTTGAGTTGAGACACATGAAAGATTGGATGTAGAT